ACATACGACGAGATGGTAATATCCGAATTTGTGTCATTGTTACATACACTCTAAACAAAGATGCATACAATTTATCGTAATTTTTTCCGTAAGTTGAGAAATGACGGAATAATAATTGGCTTAATTTTTTTTCTGCTTTTTGTCGCACTTTTTTGGGAAACATCTGATAAAATTTATCCATTATTTTTTTCGCCATGAAATTTACTAACGAAAAAGCGGAAGTGGAAAAATGATAACAATTTTCAATAACACTTAGCTCTCTGACCTCCTAAACTCTATCGGAATGAGTGATACGACGTTAGTCAAGGAAACTGATGATCACGATAATATGATGCACCGAGCCATTCCATACTTGTGGAAGGATAACCAACGAATTCGATACAACTCTGAACTATTGAAGTATTTGTGTAGAACTTTTAAAACTCAGCAACCTACTTCATTGAAGTAAATTTACCTGTTGTAGGAGCATTGTCGTTGTAAACGCGGCTGGTGGAATTTTAAGTTCTGCTAATGACATGGCCAAGTATATGCAATTCCACTTGAACAAAGGGAAGGTTGGAAATGAACAAATCGTTTCAGAGGTATGTACACTCTTAAAGATAATGTTACCCTTTTGACAAGTTAACAGACCCTGAAGTTTAGATTAAGTAAACTACTAAATATCAGTAAATCCAAGCGAAGTACATATTACCTTATACCTTCGCCTTATACCTTACCTTATACCTTATACCATATACCTTCGCCAAATTACACTAACTGCATATTTCGCATCGTGCATTTAATATAGAAGTTAAAGTTGGTTTATTTCTCAAAATGGCAATAATGGGCTTGGTTTTTATTAAAACATTCATGTTTTATATACCTGAACTATGTAGGAGGCAATGTCGTGGCTAACAATACCAGCAAATTTGATATATTTCGGCCCCACAAAAACAGAGCCGGACCCCGATGCGGTGCCCTACACTGGAGTCGGGTCTGGACTTTGTCTTTTCGTGACGGTTTACGATGGTTGGGTGAAAGTCTGGCATGACGGATTTATTCATCCGTTTTCGTCTTTACTGAATATTTATCCGGATTTGGGCCTTGGGATTTTTACTACAAGCAGCGGCCCTGGAATCTTTAAGACAGTCACACACGAAATTTTGCACGACAATATTTTTCAAATATTGCAAGGTATTGACAAAAGAGATATTTATATAAATTGAGCCTATAATTCCACAAATAACCTTGCGCTTGTGAAACTTAATGCGCTTTCAATTTTTAATGCGCTAAATTGCCTATGTTACATCCAGAGTAGCAAAGTTACCGTTACGCTGAATTTAGTATTGTTCAATTAACATAAAATTGAACATGCAGCTATTAGTTACAATCTTATATATTTTAGGAGTGTACACATTTTTAAGAATGTATATAACATTACATTAATTTGCCTAAATTGCATATCTGTTCACAGAAAACGGAACATTCCACCGAGGAGTCAGATTGTCACCTAAGGTAGCAATGAAACAAAGTTTTGACCTTGACGGCCACAAAACTCCGTCTAGCCACGTCACGCCAAGAAAGGATCTAATTGCTCCCGACATTTCAATTCCCGAAGCAGTCGGAACTTTCGGAAGTGGTCTTAACGGTAAGAACGTGTAAAGTTAACCAATCTAACAAGGGACACTCACGACCTGTCGTTTGAGTCCAGGGTACCCACTATGTTTTTTAGAATCTACTAGGACCCCAGATGAAGGATTCATTCTTATTTCCGTGTAAAACTCATATTTTTCGCCATGGCGTGGCGCCAAATTCGCCAAATTTGATGGTTTTTCATTTTAAAACCGCCATAACTTTTGAAATCCTGGACGGATTTTCAAAATTTTTGGCAAAAATCATGACAAGGAGTTCAACTTTGGTACTCTATGAAATTTTTTCCAAAATTATCACTTTTAACTTTTCACAAAATTTCGAAATTTCGGGTTCGTCGAAAAAATGCTAAAATTATCTCAAAAATTAGAAATTTTGTATTTTTATTTTTTTCTCAAAAATTTCGACTTTTCTGATCATTTTAAGCTTAAAACTTGAAAATCCGACATAAACTGCAAAAGTTATGGGGGTTTGAAATTGGTCGAAATTGCAAATTTTTAAGTTTGGCGCCACGCCATTGGGCCAAATATGAGTTTTACACGGAAATAAGAATGAATCCTTCATCAGGGGTCCCAGTAGATTCTAAAAAACATGGTGAGTACCCTGGACTCAAACGACAGGTCGTGAGTGTCCCTTGTAAGAATATATTGCGTCTGCTTGAAACTTACTTATGCATTCGCATTACCCCATATTTCTAGGCGACTTGACACTATCATTGAAAAATAATTCTGCCGGGGTTCCACAGTTGTACTTCGAATACGGAGAATTCATACGTACTTGGTTGAACCAAACGTCGCCATCTTCATTTTCTGTCACGACATGGGATTCTGACTACTGGATGATGATGTGGTCTATTTATGGCCAACAAAATACGATAACGCTTAAGTTTGAAGATATCGATACGGTTCACTTCTTAGACGATGGGCTAGAAGTAACGTCACCGTTCAAGAGGGGTGAAACGGTAGCTGATTTACCAGAAATTCCATGGGAGACGGATACCTGCAAAAACGGTGGAACCAGAGAGATGGGTTCAGTTATATCGCTGCTTCTTATGGGAATATTTGTTCACTTATTTCTCTAAGTAGTAGAGAACAAAAGAGTAAATTACTTCAATGTTCTGGAAATTCATCTAAGAAAAGTTTATTTATTTGATTTACTTGAAAAATGGAAAGCCTACTTATGTACATATGTAATAAGAATTATTAACAATTCCAGTTGAAAACGTGTTTGCATTAACATGTTCCTTTCTTAAAAACATAGACGTATTTATGCGGATAGTAATTCACATTGTTTTACATAATGCTTGAGAGTCGTCTAACAAATTATATTAACGTCATCTAATCCACATCGCAGTACGCGCTCTCGTATTTGGCATCACAACCTTGGAGTAAGGACCTAACCTCCTCTCTGGATAGATCATAAGTTGCAAGATGATTTGAGGTTGAAAAGCATGTAGAGTTTCCAGAAAAATCGGCATTGGAAAACCCAGTCCAGCTGGACATGCCAGAAAGGACCATGAAGGTAGGAAGAAATCCAAAATTAGTCGCATCCAAGCTAGTTATAACTCTTTCTGTTCCACCAGAAAGACTAAACGTAGAACCGCTATAAATTGAAACTGAAGGTGTCGATGTGTCTAGTGGACCCAAAAACCTTAGAGAAATTGTTTGAGGAAGTGCTATACTATAGCCTCCTCAGTGTTTACAAATTCGAATGTGGGCGCCATAGTGTAATTTATTGCTGCGAATCCATGCCAGCTATAAAAATGTTTGAATTATTTCGCGCCTCATAAATTTCATAAAAACTGTCTACTTGAAAATCAGAAATAGTTGCATATTTTTTTTTACTTAAATTAGAAACCTAATCAAGAGCAAATGCATGCTGCTAAAATTATTAAATGACACTTACAATCCCCAACCGCACACCGATTTCACGTTTCTCAGTAGGGGCGAGTAGTAAGGCCTAAGATCAGGTTCCTTAATTCGGAAAAGAAACCCATTTCCTCCGGCGCTAGGTTCCGTGTAGAATGTCAGCTCTTGTACGAAGCCGAGGGCAAAATAAAGGCTGGTGGTGAATGCGAGTAGTCGAAGCAACATTGTCGATGGTTTGCTCAAAAAGTGGACTGCTGAATCTTCTTACCAGCAAGTATATATTATACTTCTATATTATTACGGCATTCTTATACATGCATACATACATATATGTACATATTGTACAAGGACATTTTATTATGGAAGAATTTACGCAGTTATATGCAATTGCAGTTCTGGAGATAAGAGTAATGTTAACCCACTCGATGTATAATTCACATAACTGGTTCCAATTAAATGAAATACATAATTACTGAGGTAATGTTGACAGTTTAATTAATTTATGACAAGTTGATAAGCACATTTAAGACTGATATTTACTCAAAGAACATACTAAAATAACCCTCATTTGTTCACATTGGAAATATATTGGACTCTGTACATACAAATATTTCTGATGCTTATCGGTTCAAACTGTCAATCTAATTATTTAAGAGTATGATACTAATGAAAGTGGCAGTTTTCCCCGCTCGCTTAATTCTTTTAGAAGTCATGTTAAATTTTTCAAGCCTATTACGTCTCATTCGGAATTTAATCAGTTTTCTGAATTCGAAAACCAAAATCCGTTATCTCTATTCGTTCTAAAATGAGAGCAAAAAATTCCGACAAAGTCGCAAAACGGTTTTGCCAAAAGGTACCAAAATTTTTGTTTCAGGGATCGAAAAAACACTCTCAATTTTGTTCCAAATGGAGGAATGCATCGGAACAAAATTAACCGAGTACTGGACAGATACGAGGAACGCGGAAATGCAGATTTCAAAAAATCAGTTGCCCGACTAGCCCTCCTGGGATTGGTGAAAGTAGTGACGAGAGTTGAGATAGCTTTTCTCAAGAAATGTTATTTATTATTTGCAAGACTTTGAATTCTAAACTCTAATTGAAAAGTGTATCATAAAGAGATTGACCCCCTTCATCAAAAAATTTGGTAATTTCACTAACCTTTGTATGTATTTAAATGTAACTCTTATTATATTATTGATATACATATTTACATATAATAAATATATGTTCACACTTATAGAAACTTTGAATATTTTAAAAATAAATTCTTATAATTATTATAAGAATTTAACTAAGAATTTATAAGAATAAGAAAATAATTGCCAAAAATGTTTTAATAAGATAAAGCATGGATAAATGAGTTTACTATAGGTGTAAACTCATTTATCCAAATTTTTTCTAAATCTGTAATAATTTAGAAAATAAATATTTACAGACATTCTTTGTGTTATGATCCGATGACGACAAATGTACGAAACTTTAGTCGTTCGTTCGATTATCAAACATTGGTTGGATTTGTGCTCCTTGATTTAATAAATTAAACTCTTTATTTGTCAGGAGAATCATGGATGACATTTTAAAAGTTTTCTTGTTCCAAGCTTTCGATATCAAGCTGCAATCTTCTGCAGGGAGCGATATTGAAATTTAAATCAAACTACAATTGGTCCAGAAAAATATTATCACTCAAATATAAAAATATTTTAGTTTAGTATTTGGTTTATTATTTTAAAACTCTTTATTATCACTAAAATTTATACTCCAACATCACGTTGGGTGGTACATATGCAGAATCAACAAGTAACTTCTATATTGGTGATCCTGTGTTCTTTCAATTTTATCGCCATTGGAAAACTAGATACCTAAAGTCCTCCAATTCAACATCCTGGGTCATGATTTCCCACAGTTTTGATTTGATCTCGGAAATGCTGAGTCGCAAAAATTCTTCCCGTTTCCAGCATTTCATAAGGAGGTCGTCATATCTAAATTATATGTACATAGCAAGTACATACAAGCAGAAATATGTAAAAATATGTATGTAGGATATTATGTATATTACATATGTCGACAAATTGTAGTAAACCCTTAAAAATTATGGTACCCTTTTGAAAACTGACTTCCCTCTAAATTCAATACTAAATCCAGCGTAAACTTTACCATTAATCAAGTCAACGTTACTCTGCATTTAGCATACATATTTAGCTTACTTAATTTAAAATTCAAAGTGCTGTTCAAAAGGGTACGTAACATTATTTTTTAGAGCGTGGTTATCCCAACTTACAAGGTCTGCGTCACATATAGCGGTTTTGTCAGCCGACCACCGCCTGTAATGTGAATTATTTCCTCAACTAGATTGCCCTCGTCAAGTAACTTGGGGTTTCTGCCGAGGCTGAAAAGTTCCCAAATTGTGACCCCATAACTCCAGATATCAGAATTTTTGGAAACCATAAACTGCATCAAGGACTCAGGAGCCATCCAGCGTACGGGAAGTGGTTGATCCTAAAAATTATTGCGATAATTTCTAATAATATTATTGCGCCAATATGTAATGGGGGTATTCATTACCAGTTCGCATATTTACATTTCAAATAATGTTTTTTTGCGAATCTTCCAGATAAGAAAATTAACATGTCCTATTTCTTCCAAGCCACGCAAATTGACAATTTTTATGTGAACTTTGCGAACGATGTGAACCGGTACTGAATACCCCCAATATTTCCGAAAGCATACCGATGATAAATTTCGATAAGTGTCACCATCCCTGAGCAACATGCTCATACCAAAATCTGTCAATTTTGCAGTTCCTGATTTGTCAAGAAGCACATTACGAAGCGCGTGGTCAACGTGGATCACCTGAAATTCATAAAAAAGTTAAAGTTGCAAGTACTTCAAACTATCGCAAAAATTAATGAATAAAGTGTTAATTTCGTTTTGCCCTTTTGCAAAACTAAAAAGTTGGCACGATTTTTTGTAATACTAATAATAATAATGCACTCTTAGAAATCCAGGTATTAAAAAAACACCAAACGAAATTCAAACATTATCTACTCTGGGAAAGTGGTATTGATAAGTAATACCGTGTTGGAATAGCTTGGAAGACAAAGTTTACCATTTCGGTAACAAATATCAACAATTTTAATACCCATCGATTACACTTGAATTATCGTAACCATACCTACCAAAAATTGGCCTGACCATTATCCCAGAACAATGTGTATAATTATATAAATAAACCCTTACAAACGAATATAAAAAAGTAGCGTCAGAACGATCGAAATTTCCTTAAAAATGACATCATATCTAACAATTATATATTTTTGACCCCTGACCTCGTCCTCATGGTCATGAGGTCAAAAATATTAACGTCCTTGAAATCGGGGTAAAATTTCCTTTAAAATGACACCCCATATGACAATTAAGTATCTTTTTGACCTGTGACCTCGTCCACAAGGTCATGAGGTCAAAAATATTAACGTCATTGAAATCACGGTCAAATTTCCTTTAAAATGACACCCCATATGAGAATTAAGTATCTTTTTGACCTGTGACCTCGTCCACAAGGTCATGAGGTCAAAAATATTAACGTCAGTAAAATCGAGGTAAAATTTCCTTTAAAATGACACCCCATATGACAATTAAGTATCTTTTTGACCTGTGACCTCGTCCACAAGGTCATGAGGTGAAAAATATTAACGTCATTGAAATCGCGGTCAAATTTCCTTTAAAATGACACCCCATATGAAAATTAACGTGAATTTAATTTTGGACCACACCCCCTGGCGCTGTGGGGGGTGGTCCTATTGACCCCATTTTCGAACTCGACCGAGAACTAAAAATTAGAAGAATAATGACGAAAACAGGGTTCGATTATGTTAACTCGTTCTGGAGATATCCTGCTTACGGACGGACAGACGGACAGACGGACGGACAAAACGATCACAATAATTAGCTGACGCTACTTAATAATTATTTAATATTATCTTATTTTCCATCCTACTTTTTCAAATTTGTATTTATTTCAAAAAACTTTTCATCTCAAACTTACATTCTTACTGTGGAGGAATTCCAACCCATTCGCAATGTCTAAACTCCATCGGAAGAAGTTCATAATTTTATACGAATTAGGCCACCTTATGTCAAGATCCCTACAAAAAAGAAATAATTCTTAAAAAAACAGAGTCATTTATAAAGAATACAATACAACAAATTCGTCATACCTTACGTCCGCTCTCTCATTATGAAGTGTGGAATTCATCACAAAACTTTTCAGGCTACGAAACTCGCACATTTCAAGAACAATTAAGAACCTGTCAGAACCGGTTGTTACCACGCCGTGCAATTTTACAATGTTGGAGTGTTCTTGAAGCCGGGACAAAATCGAGAGCTCGTTAAGTAATCCTTTTTTTGAAGACGGTAAATGTCCCGTTTTTACAGCAACCTTGGCCGAAGTTGAAATAATAGTACCGGCTCGAATATTTGCAAACATTCCTGCGTCAAAGACCGGATCTGGAAAAAAAATATTAAGTGATTGTTGCAAATATTTGAAAAATCTTGTTCAAATATTACCCAAGGAAATATCTTCTACTGGAATGATCCGATAAGGCAGGTCTAAATCGTCTTGGCAGGGTGGTGTAGTTAAATTTAGGGGAACATTTCGGTTGGTTGTTTGCCTTCTAGTCAATCTGATGCGTGGGAATCCCTTCTGTTGTAACAATTTTGACAGTACATATACATATATTAGGGATTTTATTGGTTGAACATAGATAAGACTTTTGAAATTAAAGTGGGAACCGAGTTGCGACAATATTTCGGAAATCTGTCCACTTCATGTGAAAATGGTGTAACTAAAGCCTAGTACTCAGGATGGATTTTTCACATGAAAAAGTTTACCAAAAACGGGAGAAAGAACCAAAACAACATTTTGTAATTGATTTGAAACTTTCCCATCTGGTACAAACTTAAAACATAGATTTATATCGTACTAGATACTAAAGTTTAATAATTTAAATAATTTGCATATGGAATTGTAAGTTGGTATAGTAAATAATACACTGTTTAAAAGTAATTAAAAGCAAATATTCAAATATTCTATGAAACCTTAAAAAATTCCATAGCAACAATTAAAATTTAGTGAATCATGTATTTACTGTATTAATTTAATAATTACGTACGTAAGTGCGCAACTTTAACCCGGGCTTATAGACTAGTACAGCATAATCACATAAATATTCGCCAGCTTACAAGAAGTCTTGGAGAATACCTTACCTGCAAAAATTTAAAGATTCTCCACCATGATTTGACAGAAGGAGCCCTGTTTTCCGAACGTATTGTGGTATTCTCATCTTCAGAATTATCTGTATTTTCAACTGGTTGGATCTCATCGCGTGTAAGGTTATGGTAACCGTAATTTCCGCATGTTGTATACCCGCTTGCCTCAATTTCAGCTTCTTCAATGAAATCCCTATAATTGCTAAAATCGTCGGGAATCTGGCCCATTTTATTATTTGCAAATTAAATCAAAACTCGCCAAACGCACGTCAAACTGAAATGAAGATAAATATGTAAATGTGCACTGGGTATTTAGCCATACTGCTCAACTGCGTATTAAGCCGAGTAGATCAACATTTTCGCTGAAATGCACACCCAAGAAGATACGATTACGGAGAAATATTTACTGGTGTGGGTTAAAATAATAACCAAATGACACAAATTCCCATGTGGGAACGTACATATGTTACGTCAGCATTTTTAATGGGTGAGTGGTTTGATCTTCTCATATTTAAATTCCTCGTCTCTTAATTTTAAAGTACGTTGGGTGGGTGGGTGGTAAAATCGAGAATTTTTGATAACGTAATATATGTATAGGCCCCTGACTTACTTAACAATTCCTGACTGAGAATTAGAATAACTTCATTTGGATTAAGGAATTACTTAAGCTTCAGTTAAAAATTATGTTAAATCTGTGCAGCAAACACATCTCCCGTACTATACTAATATTTTCGGTATCATTCGTATTTTGCAAATTTATTAACAAATATGTATCTTGTCGCCGCGGAATATATAACCTACACAGTTTTATAATCCGGATCTGTTTTTTCTCACGAATAATTCGTGTTTTACGTTTTAGCTTAATAGGTTCAGTCCTGTCACAGCACATATGTATATGATAGAAATTTCACAAAAAAATAAGGAACACAACATTTACCGCAGAATACATCCACTGGAAATATATTAAGCGATGAGTCAAATAGAAACAACAAATTTTGTTTGCTTATCTAAAATAAAGGTGATACGATTATTTACTTGAAATAAAATTTATAAATACCTCCACTGTAGAATTTTGTAACTTTATATGTTCGTTAAAATTGCGTTACATTTTTATACTGGCGATTTTCCAAGAGCTCAACTTGCTAAGAGGTACATAAGTACATACGTTCATTTGTAATACAAATGGTAAATACACATGAATATTTTTTGCTCTATGTATCTTAATGAATGATAATTATTTTTCTACACAACTTCCCCATGCAAGCGAATGCAGATATGTAAGATACGTTTTATCAGATTTGTACATAGGTATGTACATATTATTACAAGGAGGAGGGTCTGTCCCTTATCAAGGAAATCGGATCAAGGATCACGATCCTCACGGGGGAGAAGAGGTCAACATCGTTCCTCGTACAAAGAATGAGTATCGCAGTGCAGCGTGGAAACGTTGCTGCAATTTTGGGATCTCTTCCAGCTGGACGAGAGCTGGATGAGATTTTTTTACTATAAGACTACGAAATATGTTAAGGTTTTTTTACTATTAAATTTCGGATAGGGCAATTTTGTGAAGCGCTGGGCGTTTAGACTTTTCTAAAAGAAGTAATTATTGTACACATACTTACATCTCTGCTAATATAATCTTTACTACAATGAATAAACAACATATTATTACAAAGTGAAGGTATGTATGTGTTCAGATTTAAGTAAACATGGTTGTCGCCGGAATTTGAATATTTTGTATGATGTTATGTATGCATTTTTAGTGATTCATTTATTTTAACTATCTATTTTTTGTGCAACCTTGAAATTTGTGTAATTGCATGAAATGAGAATTGAGCAGAGCATTATGTATGCAGCGCGAGCTGCATGTTCAGGTAGTTGGCTCAGCAGGAGCAATGCACCAAATCCAACCTTTCTTAAGTGATAAATTATTTACCCAAATTTTCTATTGAAAAAGTAGTATTGTATAATTTTGTGGGTTTCAACCTTAAAAGTATGTAAAATCTATTGATTGTGAAATGAACCTTGTGTGAGTGACCCGAAAGCGTCACTCGTGTCTATAAAAGGACCAGAAAAAGCCCACAGAAGAAAAAGAACACTTTTAGCCATAGTCCACGTCGGTTTAACTCATGATTTTTTTGTAACTAAAACTAATTGGCCTGTTCCCAAATAAAACCCTAAATTTTCTTGTTGCTAATAATTCCACTTGTAGTGTCGTGAATCTTTATCAGCCAGCACTATTTTAAGTAATTGTGGGGGGTAGTTCACATCGGGAATTAGTAGTAGTCGAGAGGGGGGTTAGGAGCTTGGGGGTGAAGGAGAGATTACGCTACGACGAGTGCGGGAGCTGTGACGTGCTGTGACGTGACACGAAATCGGGCGTCCCCATTTCAATGGTTGAATAAATATTATGCATATATTGACTAGGATACGTAAATACCAAGTCAGTCTTACATACTTACAATGCGCGACGATGTCAAATGAAACCCTCCGAATTGGTCAAAATTTTAAATTGTGTGGTCAAAGTCATTACAGTCAACGTTTCATGAGGCGATGGTGGGAATTAGTTGAAATATTTATTTGAGATCAAAGTTTAAGAATGGCTAACTTTTACTCATTTTTATTTAAAGTGTACTTGTTAGGGGCCGTTCATAAATGCAACGCGAGAGGTGGGGCGTGTAAGGCTACAATGATATCGTTCTTATTTGAAACATGTTAAAGCAGAGGTGCCACCTCCGAGATGTGATCTAAAAAATCTCTAAAAATGCAGAAGCAAAGTTAATAGTGGTACATAATTTTTGTGGGGCCCTTAATTGTAATAACCTCAACGCCTTAGATTTAGCTCAAAACCAACAAACTAACGAGGATACTAGTTATTCCCAAGGTGCATAAATACATCGCATTAAACCGCACAATTCTAATGGGATTGCAATGGATGCCAAATGTTTGCATGGTTTTAGCCTTCTTCCGAAAAATTGGGGGATTTTGGTTACGTTTTATAACGCCGACAAATTTTGCACTCTCATTCGCCACGCTGCCAAAGTAGTGGAGAGCGGTGAGCAAAATTGCGAAACCGAGGATGGCAAGGACAATCATGGTGAAGAGGTCGAACGTCCCGAGAACGCCGTGGAGTCGGATTGTTCCAAAGTTTCCGAGAATCGTGACCACCGACAGAGTCCAGACGAGGTGAGGGATGCGATAGAAGAAGGATATGTTCTGAATTTTGTTTAGAATTTGGAGTTGTGTGTAGTACCGAAATTTTGATTTCGTGGAGAGACTGGATTTACTGGAAATATTAAGGAAAGTTGTACACTCTAAAAAATAATGTTGTCCTTTTGAAAGGCAAATGTACTCTGAATTCAAACTTATTATGTAAACAATACTAAATCCAGGGTCAACTTTACCCTTTGTCGTTACTCTGGATTTAGTATGACTTATCGAATTCAGAGTATATTAACCGTTCGAAAGGATAACATTATTTTTAAGAGTGTACGAAATTATTTATGTTTTCCTTCGAGATAAAGTGGATAAATATTGGAATGCACAAACTTAACATATAAAATTTAAAAAAATGTTGAAAAAGTCTGCATAATTTGTTAAAGTGGACAAATTTACGAAAAAATTATAAATTCTGTAAAAAATCTGCACAATACAATCCGCATAATCTCGCTTACAATTCTTTGTAATTTTAATTTAATACAAAGTTTCGCATACTTATGTATCTACTTACCCGATAAGCCTCAACGTCTTAATAACAAAGATGAGGTAGAATGAGATGATCGCAAACTCAAAGAACATGCTGATGAGGACCAGAGTAACGCAGACGACGGAGAATAAGATCAGCACAAAGGTGCAGATCTTATCTTCCGCGAGTGAAGATAAGAACTGAGGTCCGCTGGGATGCATGATTGCAGCGGCACTGCAGGCCATCCAGTCCTCGAGGAAGGCTCCCTTGCACACGAGAAGGAGAATGTGAGATGTGTCGAATTGTCTTGAATTGCGGGAAGACGGAGGTAGATTTTGTTCCACGGCTAGAAAATTGGATGAAAATCCTTATTTTTTATAGAGATAAGATGATTGATGACTACAATTTGCATGAGTAAATACGATAAAAAGATTGTGAGTGACCCCGGTACCGGGTGACTAATTAACGGTCGGGTACCGGGTACTAACTAATACCCGGTACCCGACCGAGTATTCTAAAGTATCCGGTTTCCCCGAGTACATTCATCAGCCGGCCACATTTTTTTAGCAGTGTATGAAACTCGAGTAGGGTTTTTTTAGAAGAGACCATTAAGTTTGATTTTCTCCTCGAATTAGGTCAAAGTTTTGTATAATTTTCAAAATTCATGACAAATTTAGGTCGATTTTTCAACAAGTAAGGGGCAGTCCATAAATTACGTAACGCGAGAGGGGGGAGGGGGAGGTCTAAGGCTCTAATGATATCGTGCCTATGTTACACATGTTAAAGGGGGGAGGGGGGGTCTAGAAAATCGCGATTTTTGCGTCACTTAATTTATGGACGGCTCCTAAAACTAAAACGTTTCTACAAATGATTGCAGTCACCACTTTACCATTTTCGATTCGATTTCCCACGCTATACACTGAATTTACCAGACCCACAACTTCCCTCGAATTCATCCAGATATTTACTACTACAGTTCCTGACCAGAAGTATGCCTGCGTGTAAATGATAATCCAGCTCGTCACGATATAGTCGCCATGACAAGACTGCTGACCGTTCGGGTCCAAAAAACACTTCGTTGTGGTGTCCGAGCCGATAATTTTGTACATTTGGCCGAGCAGATAAACCAACTGGAAGAAGAGGACAGAAACCAACGTGCAAAACGAAAGATTCGGAGTTTTGCTCGACTTTTTGCAAAGCTCGACTTTAAGATCCGTCTTATTCCAGGAAATCGGCAAACGGAGAAAGTTGTGAGATAACTTTATCCAAAAACCGAGTTGTTTTAATGCTTTTTGTGATGGCATTTTGGGTTGAAAATCTGCAACGAATATTTTTGAGAGGTTTAGATCATACGAAACCTCAAATGTGTCGAAATGAGGTGAAGAATTGAGCAGAAATAATTATTATTTGAAGTTAATGTTTGATAAGAATTTTCGCGAAAACTATTAGCGAAATTTATTTATTGATTAGTCGCTGTAGTGATGAAAGTTATAATTATTTTGGTAAATATTTAATTCACATGATTGTCCCAACATTAAACGTTGTTGTGACTCCTTGGAAAATATTCGGGGTATTCAAAATAAATCTTCGTATCTTTGCCGTGTTGGGAAAATCAGTGTATTGAGTTTAAATACATAGTCTCCTAATAAGAAGTGATAGTAGAGTAGACGACCATATCTCTTTTGTTTTAAAGAATTCCAAATTTATTTTTATTCCATTGAAAAGTCAGTTAAATTCCAAGTAGAAAACATGTATTACACTTGAAAATATATTCCTCCTGTGACCATGAAAAATTAGTCACAAGAGAAGAGAACTCTGTCAAAAATACGCAAGAAATTTACTGACAAAGTGTATCATTCCCGGGTCAGAAATTTTTTTGTGACCCACACACTTATATGGGGCTCACAACAGACCTTTTCCTCAATTTTAATCAATATTTGGTAGTGAAGTTGACTGCGGTTCGAAAATGCCAAGATCAAACCTAAAGTGGAAATGAAGTCAGAAATATGGATTTTAATCCAGTTTTTCACGAATTTCGCTGTATTTGTTACTGTAGGGCCGTTCACAAGGGTCAGTGGCTTTTCACCCAATATGGACTAGTTGAGGGATTGTTCCTTCTTCACAAGGACATTTATCGAATATTTTTTTAAACTATCTCCTCTCCTTAATCAAGGAAATTGGGCGGCTTTTGCCCAATTCCGCCGATTCCCGCCAAAACCATGAATGTAGACCGATAAGATGACATTTGACCTCCATTTCGTAATCAACTAACCCTAAGAATATTTGACACAAAATATGCTACTTCGTTTGTTGAAACAAATTTTTGTCGTAAAGAAACTCTCATCGGTAAACGGGTTATTTTGTTTTTGTTTTTTACCGTACCGCTGGGAGAGGGAGGTCGATTTTTTGACCTTAGCTTACGTCTGGGCAATCTGTAGCACTTGGTGCTTTCAACTCTAAAAGGCCTCCATCTTAGGGTCATTTTTCAGTGCTCATCTGATTTCTAAAGTTGAAAGGTCATTTGTATGGCCAAAGTCTTCGGTCTCAGACAGAGATTTTGTGGTAATCTGGCGTTCAAAGCTTCGGACATCACTGTAGTCCTCCTTGACCTTGGACCAGCGGAACTTTTATCTCAAAGTTAGACACTGTCCCTAGGGTTACTTTAATAGGTTGGGCAACCAGATGGTAGTTGTCCTTGAATTCCTACACTACATCTAACATTGTGAATTTTTCGTCTAGCGTAAAAAGTGAAAAAATATTGCTGCGCGCGTGTGGTAAAGCTCCTCCATCTTTTGACCTAGTGATGTCAAGTAAAAGCGGTCAACACCAATGATAGGCACTGAATGTATGCACAAACCGCAATTGACCTTTTAATTTTATGTTGACCGGTTCAAAAACTACGCTTCACTATCACTTTTTATTAGGAGACTATGTATGTTCATACATACATACCTACATATGTATGTATTTAGTTTGCAAAAAATGCGACGATATACAACGGTATACATAAATAAATGCCGTTTTCGTGTTGCATATTTCGTAAAAAAAGATTCAAAACTTTCGACTGATTGTATTTGAAAAGTTTCGAATAGACGTTTACGAAATTGGAATGAATATCAGCATTATTTAGCTAACCCATTGACTTGATAAATGTTTTGATTGATTCGTAGGTTAATTAAGTTGTTAATTTAATGGATAGATTTATTTGATGTGACAATAGTGGAGCTATTTCTGTGTAAATTATCAATGTTTTCGCCATTACGTCTTATTTGGTGGAGAAACAAAACAATTAATTTTAAACACTTCACCCGAAGTACTATGATAATATTCCATCGTACGTACGTAAATCAATTAATAATATATACTTGAATATGATAGAATGTAGCGAATTATAAATTATTCGCTGAGTGAGTCGTCATATGTACGACTCAGTCTAGTGAGTCGTAAAAATGAAAATACATAATTTCTTACAAATTAGTGAGAATGATCCAACGAACATACTAGAAAATAAAATTTTTAAACAGATTAAAGCTTACAGTTGGCAGCCAGACAATAAAATAAATTACGCAAAGTAGCATAGAATTCTAAACGAGCAAATTTGTTTATTTTTCCAATTTTTGATTTTCCAATTTATTACATGTTATACATATTTTTCTAGTATGACGCCAATGGGGTCACTCTGATCAATCGACACCCATGGGTGGGCACTCTAACGGCATAGCTGCCCGTGTACACTCCCAGTTCCAATCCGGCCCAAACATCTCGAACGTTTGCTGCCCCCGAGAAGCCGAAATCAACCCAATTTGCCGCCACAGTTTCCTCCTGTTCTGCAAGGTTGAACAATCCCACGATAAAACTTGGCACAGCGTCGCCAATATTAGGCGACCACCAGACCTGCTGGGCTACACCGGGGCTGACAGGTCGTGCCGGGACGCCGTCCTGATTGATCGAAATAACTTCCCGGTTTGTGAGCAAGGTTAAACCGAATTCGTCAAGGAGGCTGAGGTCGTCACCAATGTAAAGAGGCGCGCTAGATATCGCCCACAAGGTCATGTAGCTGCGACGTTCGTCCTCCGTTAAGCCGTCCATCGTCCCGTTGCCGACGTTGATCGTGTCCAGATCGTTCCATCTGCCAGGACCGGCGTGATCGATCCAGGGAACGATGTCGTCGAAACGCTGGACGACGGATTGCGTCCATCTGACTAGTGTGTCACAGTAACATTCGACATCCGTGTCGATGCGCCAGCCGGAAGCGGAGGCGGTCCAGTCTGCGATGAAGGTGATGTCGAGTTCCCAGCTGATTTCGAGGATGACAGAGCGGCCCGTCTTGTCAAAGGCGGAGCGCCACGCGGCAACGTCGGGACTAAAATGGGATAAAAAAACTGATAATTATTTAGTTAAGTGTCGGATTTACAAAAGATTAAGGCGTCGGGTGAGCTCAATATTTTTTATAAAACAGCTGTTTTCAAAATGCCACTATCAATTGTTAATTTTGGAAATTTACACCATAAAATCGATGCAATGAGAAAAATTACAAACGATTATTTCGAAACTAATGTTCCAACTTGATATAAAATCAATTGCAAATCATGCCTTTTACCGATTGTCATAATTTGACCCATTTTTCCAACTTCCCGGCCCAACTCCGTCCAACTTGAAGAAATCAATTTCCCACTGGACAAACAGCTCGGCAATAGAATCAATAAACTCTTGCGCGCAAGAATTGTCAAAATCCATTTTGTACGAAGAATCCCACCCATTAGTCACCCTAAAATCTGGATATACGAGATCAAACCCGGTACAGTTTCCGGAAGGTCCGGAAACGTCGAAGTTGACCTTGTTGTCTTGATCGGACCCAAACACTCCCATTGGTAGCCCGACAGGGGCGTAAATTCCTAGCTTAAGCCCCCTTTCGTGTGCGTAATTCGCGACAAAGTCGATCCCTCGAGGAAATCGGGCCGGATTCGGGATCGGTCTTCCGTTCAGGTCGAATCCCGCGTTCCAATCGAAGTCAGCATTCCATCCAGAATCGATATTTATATAAGTATAACCAAAATCCTTCAGGGTGGCGGCCATGACGTCGATTTGGCGTAGAACGTTGTCTTCCTTTAGCCAAGAAAGGCCATGACCGGGCATCGTGGTTGCCTGGAGACTCCACGAGCTCCAGCCCATGTAAGGTCGGACGGCTTCTTGGGAGTGGGAAAGCTGAAAAGATTTAGAAATAAATTTACCATTTGCAATTTTTCAAGTTTTTTATTTGGATTGTGCATGTCACGTAAAGATTATAGATTGTACTGTATTTTAATTAGTGCACTCTTAGAAAGAATGTCACCCTTTTTGAATGGCAAATGCAGTCTCAATTCTATATCAAGAAATCTATACTACATTCAGACTTTACTCTAGGTATCATATTAATGTTACTCTGGATTTAGTGTAGTTTATTCAATATGCAATTCTTTTGTAAGAGATTAACATTATTTTTAAGAGTGTGATTGACACCACACTTACCGCAATTAAGCCCACCACGACTAAAATGAAAGTTGGTAATATCATTATTAAAATTGGAATTTTTTTAAAAATAAAAACCGATTTGGATAAAGTTTATTCTGGATGAAGAATTATTCACAGTAAATTGAGTTGAGTTTACAACGAGGCGATTGAAAGAGAGTAAATGGGTTGAATTACTTTAAGTCTGAGTAATATGTAGATAAGTAGATAAGGCAAGAAACAGGCCGTGTGGAAAAGGTTATGATAAGAGAGTAATTTTAATTAAACGATAAGAATATATGTAAGTGATACACATTGGAACGATTCGTTTGAGATTTAGTATTTATCAGTGTATGCATGTATGTGCTAAGACTGTTGAGGATGAATTTTATATGTGGTAAGTATGTATTGCACATAGTTTGTACCTTGAGATATTTGGAGCATATCTGATAAAAATAAGTTTATTTGTTAACTGACATTGTTACTCTAACAATAAGATTCATAACTTTTCAGTTTTCAAGTGTAACCTTTTCCAAATGGGTAGGAATAAAAAGGGTATTTTTCTTTGCATTTCTTTGCCCAGTATTTTGAAGGGAACCTACCTATGGGCTTAATTAAATATGGGTAGGTAGTTTATTTAGTTTGGATGACCACTACTGGCCACATATTGAATATGAACATACATACATACATTTGTAAATATAAGTAAATAGTCGTCACCTGGTAATTTGCTACCAGATTTTCCTAGAGTGTACAGATACCAAGGTTGAACTAACGACGTGGAAAGTACTGTATAAAACGAATCGACGCTATTATGTCTTATTAAATGTCGTCATTCCTTCAGTAATGATCTAACAATTAGTGTAATCTTATCAGCCAGCCATAGGCTTTCCCACGGGACGGGATAATCCCGTCCCGTCGGGACGCGGGACGGGACTCGGGACGGGACAAGATTTTTCGTCCCGAAGACTCTCGGGACGGGACAGGCTTCGGGACGGGACGAGGTCATCCCGTCCCGGTCAATCCCGGTCGGGACGGGACGCCCCGAACTTAACTATTTTTCTCAAAATTCACTCCCTTTATTGACAAAACTAGCAATATCGTATGGAAATCTTTCGCATGCGTTGATCCTACATACTGTAATTTTGTATTTTAAGCATGTGCATACATGTAGTTACATACACATGTCTGACATTTTACCTTGAGCCAGTTTTTCATATCATGCCCAACAGTTTAAAAATTTGACACGATTAGTTGAATTTTGGTGCCTGTTGTTTTTATATTTCTTAATAAGTAATTCGTATTTACATATCACCTAAAAATTATTTTCACCATAAAAAAAATAGACAAATTTAGATTTTAAGATTAAACAAACAATAGTTATGACTTTTGATATGCAGGTTATATGTAGTATTATGTAGGTTGAAATGATGACGATTTCTCAACTTTAAACTATAAGTAATCAAAACTAACATTTTGAAATTATTGAGATTTGACCGGTCGGAGGGAGTGGCAACATGTCTTATGCGATTTATGTAGTTAGAAAATAAAGCAGCAACCCATACTCACAGCCAAGCTTGTTCATATTTATAAAGAGCTGAATTTCAATTTAAATAAAAAAAAACTTCGGGATATCCCGTCCCGTCCCGTCGGGACAAGTCTCGGGACGGGACTCGGGACGGGATGACCTCCATCCCGTCCCGTCCCGAAAGTCTCGTCCCGGTCAATCTTCGGGACGGGACGGGACAGCGAAATCCCGTACCGTCCCGTCCCGTGGGAAAGCCTAGCCAGCCATAATATGATTCAATTAAGGTCGTTTAGCGTTACAAATTGTTATATGATACGAATCTTTATTCATACGTTGATGACAATTTTGTACATTCCCTATTAACAGTAATAGATAGATGCATAAATACATGCATAATGTTGCATACTTAAAATTCTGAAATGGTACAGGAACACTTTACAAGTAAAGCATGATACTCAGGACAGTGTTTTTCGTACGAAACGACAAGTTGTTCACGTTGTATTAAATTAGTCCTTCATTAGAATTCCTTGAATTTCACTAAAGAATGGAAGCTAGAACATGCAATAAAGGTGTAATTTTTCAAAACTACTACATATTCGGTATTTTACGGCCTTCAGTATTACCGAAGCTAAAATTCGGTATTCGAAAAAACCTTATTTCATGCTCTAATTGGAGCGTTTCTATAAATCAATTCCAAAATGTTGTTTGTATAAGTTTCTTATTGTCGTTTTTGCTAAACTTTGCCATGTGAAAAATCCGTCCTGCGCACTAAGCTTAAGGTTGCAGACGCAAGCATTTAACGTCAATTATGTTCCACTTTTAATAAATACAAAAATCTAAGTTATGTGAAATGCGTTAATAAATAGGTCATTATGTTTTTACCCATTCCCGATAAACCCAACGGTTTGTAGAAAAAAGTCTTGATTTTCACATTTGTGCTTCATTTTATGTCACCGTGTGACTCCAGCAAGTCATAAAAATTTCTGTGTTTTGTTTCCATCTGGTGGAAGTATTTGCCTTAAAACCCGTGCTTACCGACAATGGAGTCCCCATTATTACTTCTCGCGAATATATCCATGAGTTACATGGGCCCCTTAATTTCCGCTCTAACGACCATACTGACAGCAACCAACTTGATGGAGGATATTATTCGTAATCAAGGAAGTATCAATGAACCGGGGGAATTTGCAATTTTCGATTTTATCGTAGGTAAGGTAATCAGTCAAAAAATGGGGAATTTAGTGGAAAAAACTTTCATTGAATTGCACTTGCTTAAGTTTTGAAATGATTTAAGATTATGTATATTTAGTTGGGTCTGGTTCGGCCGGGGGTGTAATTGCCAACCGGTTATCGGAAAGTGGGAAATTTCAAGGTATAAAATTCAACTTTTGTATAATGTATGTACTTAAGGGGTGAAACCTACCAATGAAATCGGTCTATTCGTCCGTCCAGTGCTAGGTTGCCCTGCAACCTATTAAAAAATTAAAAAAATATATATGTATAGAATTGTATTATCTGCTGAATACACAAATTTGTGCACTGCGTAAATTAATATGACACCAAAATTTCTCAAAAATAATGTGTAGCATTACTTTTGCATTTTATAAAAAAGGCGATTATAAAAAGTTAATTTTTAGACAAGAGTTTTCTTTAAACCGAGTAGTGTTAAAAATTCATTTTTCGCGTTTTTTTTATCAAACAAACTAAAAAATTAGAAATTTGTGTACAATCTTATTGACGTACATATATTTAATAATATTCATTTACACCATAATAACAATGGTTTCACCCGTAGGTTATAACAGTTTGTAAAATAATAAGAAAATTGAACATTGTCTGAAATTATGTCCAGTTGCCCTTCTGGAGGCAGGCGGTGATCCGACAGCCCTTAACGACATCCCCTATTTCATGACGGACAATTTGAATCATCCCGAAACCGATTGGGTGTATAGAACGGTCCCTCAGAATGACTCATCCCAGTCATTACGAGACAACGTAAATAAATTCACATTATTTTTAAATTTCCAGTAATTTCTATTTTCCAGGATAAATGAACTCTTAAAAACAATGAAACCCTGTTGAAAAGTAGATGCAATTTTAATTCTATATTAAATCAACTGAACTAAGGACTTATCCAGAATAAGGCTGACTCCATAAAGAGCTAGATTTACTTTAGATTTAATATACTTTACTCAATTTAAATTGACTTCGGAGTCCATTTGCTTATCAAAAGATTAAACTTATTTTTAGAGTGTAATTTTCAAAAACAATTTAACTTAATCAATTTTTCAGTCTATAATTCTCAATCGTGGTAAATCACTCGGTGGAACGAGCAATCTCAACTACATGGTTTACATGAGAGGAAATCCCAAAGATTTTGATAATTGGGCTAATTTAACACAAGATGAGGGATGGAGTTATGAAAACCTTTTGCCATATTTTAAAAAATCGGAAAACTATCAAGGAAACTTCAAAAACGGTTACGTTAATTTTTAATTTGTCACTCAAAATTTTGTCAAAAATCACCTCTCGTGCATTTAGAATCGTTCCACGGGACGGGTGGACCTTTAACCATATCCACGTCTGACTTTGCCCCTTTGCTAAGGCCGTGGTTAGAAGCCGCGAAGGAAATGGGTTTCCACGTCGAAGATCCGAACGCCATGCAGAGTAAAGGTGATTTTGAAATATTTATGCAAATTAAGGTTATAGACTAAAATATTTGTATACAATTCCGTTTAGGGTTTTCCCAAGTTGAAAACACGATCAAAAATGGGAAACGTTGCAGTGTTTATGAAGCATTTATCAAACCGGCCTTAACCCGGGAAAACTTGAAAGTAATTCGATACGCTCATGTGACCAGGGTAAGTATAAACACATCTAGCCAACTATAAATACACTCCTAAGTATAATGTTACCATTTTAAAAATTTAACGCGCACCGAGTTCTGTATTAAATAAGCAAGCTTTACTAAATCTAGGGTAACGTTAACCTGATAATGAATACATATAGTTTAGTCTGGTTTTATGTTAGTTTACTTAAGGTGGAACTCAGAGTTCAATACTGTGTGTCACCCTGCAGGTAAATCTCGACGAGAATAATGCCGCAACTGGGGTAACTTATGTGAGACATGGGAAGGAAGTAACCATTCATGCGAGGAATGAGGTCATCGTGTCCGCCGGGGCGATCGGTTCTCCCCAACTCTTAATGCTTTCCGGAATTGGATCTGACGAACCACATTTGTAGAATGAAATATGACGAGATATTCACAGTTTTCGTGAAGACTTCAAATACCAAGGAGGTCAAGTAGACGGCCGTATTTGTCCACGTAGAGTGGCCAACCTCAGCCCAACTACTGTACAAATATTGGGGCGCCGTTGGTTTGACGATGTAGATAAATGCGATCACAATACTAAAGGAGATATTCATCCAGACAGTAATTTTAACAATCATGTTTGCCACTTGGGCGTCCAAGTTTGGTCGAATTTCAAAATTTTTGGACCGTGCGGCTGAAAATTTTTCAAAATTTGTATTTGTACTTATACATATTGCATGCCAATGCTTAACGTACCAAAGGGAGGGCGGCCTGGTGGATACGAATTTGACCTTGAATAACCCCGGAACGGTTTGTCGTAGCGGGTCAAAATTTTGAACAGACGAGCATGTTATCCTCAGATAGTTGTGTGCAAAATTTCAGCCTTCTACTTTGAAAAATGCCTGCCCCACAGCCCCCAGAAGCTGAGACAGTCATTTCAAATAGTTCCAGAAAAAATCTCGCCCGTGTTTGCAAAAAATTTTATTTGAATATTCTGTTGAGGAATAGAAGTGAGCTATTGGTGACAATTGACGAAGAACTATTTTCCCTACAAGTTACTAATTGGGTTCGAAGAGCTTACTACACGACAAATGCCGAAAAAAAATTCAAGAAATTTGGTGCTTTTCAGTGAGGAGAACTTTTTTAAACAGTTGATGGTCGTGGGTGCAATGTCCTGTCGTGGTGTCCTCCCACTTATCAAAGTCCCCCAAAAAGTGAAGGAATCTTCGAAGTATTATGTGGACCTTGTACTGAAACCACTTTTAGAATACAATTTTCCTAATTTGCACGGTAAAATAATAATTAAGGTGATTTTTCATCATGACGGAGCGTCCTCCCAGACGGCAAAGTTGACCCAAGATTATGCAAATGACCTTGAACCTAGATTGGGGATAAAAATCATTTGGAATAGTGAAATACCTATACAATCCCCTGATATAAGTCAAATCGACTTGTTTGAGTTCGGATAGATGAAAAGAAAATCTTTCTGTGGGGACCGAATTTTTTAGACGGAGTTTGGAAAAAGTTGAAACGAGTGTCTCAACTTCTGGGGGCTGTGGGGGAGGCATTTTTGAAAGTAGAGAGTTGAATTTTTGCACACAACTATCTGAGGATAACATGCTCTTCTGTTCAAAATTTTGACCCGCTACGACAAACCGTTCCGGGGTTATTCAAGGCCAAATTCGTATCCACCAGGCTGCCTCCCTTTAGTATATTGTCGGATTCATCATGAAATTTTGAGAATTGTCATGTGCGACTTGAATTTTTAAATTTCATTGCATATTTCCATGTTTACATGTTAAACACGAATTTTCGATTTAACAGTCCAAGTCAATGATAGAGTTTAAAATTGCACGCCTCCTATATTAAATTAGTTTTTCTCTAATATATAATTTTTGGAATTTTGGTTCAATTTACCCCGAAATCTACAAAAACCCACAAAACCCACAAAAACCCCCAAAACCCCGGAAAAACCCTCGGGGTTGGGATTTTCTAGAAACCGCGGTTTTCCGAACTTTGATTCCAAAGATATATGCAAATATGAATGTACATATGTATGTACTTACATATTTATATATATGCACACTACGCGTATATGTAAATTTGCGTAGGACTCCGGATATCACGCCTTAGCAGCAGTACTTCTCCCCATCGCTGGAATTCTTATGATCGTTGCTGCAGCTAAGATTGATAACGCCGCGATGGATATCCTGGACAGAGAACTTGATCTTGGCAGCTACTCATATAGCTTTGTCAACCTTTCGTCCCCTTTGACCTTCCCACCCATAGGAAAGGATGTGCTAGATGATCGAAAAAGGGAGATTAGGAAGCAGGCAAAATATTACAATAAATTGGCAGCTGGGGTAAGTTCACAAGATACAGATTTTTTAAATGTAGTATGGTTAATTAGGTTGTTTTCCAGAGTTTTGCAATAACTGATGGAGTACTGTATTTCGTTGCTGCTGTAATAATTAGCAAATCATGATAATGAGGCGATCGAAATGAATAAAAAGAGCTGATTTTGGCATGAACCAATGTGCTTAATTGTGTTATTTTAACATCATACTTGTCACGTTTGAGTTCTGGGCAAGTACATATGGATGTATGCTTCATGTGTAAAATTTACATAATTCACATTCTCATAGGACTTCGAAGATGAATAAATTTGTATTTAGATAACGGCTAAATAGGGGACATGCTCGTCCATGGAAATATATGTATGTGCAAATTTTCTAATTTTTTTTAAATATTCAGATAGGGAAATTCATGTACGGCGCTGGTCGTTTAGCTTTTTCGAAATAAATGTGTGTAAAATGATTTCAAAGAAAGAATAATAAACCGTAGTAACGTTAGAAGTAGCTCACCCTGTCAAAATTATTTAGATAGAACTTTGCACTGAAGCTTCGGTGCAAAGAGCTATTGTGCACATTCGCGAAGGTGCACAATAAGCCGACAAAATAGATTATAATTTGTATATATTCTTGCACAAATGGTGCAATATAAACGGAGAAATGTAGCAAATGCTCAAATTATTTAGTTGGACCACTTGTGCAGCATTTGCGGCACGCCGGCTACATAATTTTGAAAACTTTATGTCAAAATTGTATGATTATTTCTCCCGGATATTCTGCACTATTGGTGCGTTTTGCGTCCAGTAGCCCCTATTATTTAGCATCATTTTGGGTTCTCAATTGTTAGATACCAATGGTGCTATTAACTTATTAAAGAATGGACCTGATCGATTTTTATTATATTCATTAGTTATTCTGCACTTTTGGTGCATCTTGCATCGATTATCCCAATTGTTTCACACCATTTTGGATAACCCATTGTTCGATACTAACGGTGCTACCTATTCCGAAATTGTAGTAATTTCTTGATCAATTTGCACAATTAATTCGCACCATTTGCGCCACGGCTTCTTCGATACCAATGGTGCTCCTCAGACCGGTAATAATGGAGCAGGGACTTATTAATTCGCATCAATTGATGCAAAAAACTCGTCAACAGACGGACGGACGGACGGACGGACAAGAGGAATTCAATAGCTCTCATGCTACGCAGGGTGAGCTAATAATAAAAAATTTTCTAACTAATACATGCCTAGTGAGGACAAACTGTTAGAAAATTATGCTGCATAATGTACCTAAATGTGCATGTGCATGGATTGGTCTCGTTTTCATGAATCTGATGCAAATAAGATCATAAATCTTATGCAAATTTTATCTTATTGCATTGGTTTCGTAAAGAAACATAGAATAGCGGCAGTGTAATTGTTATTGGTATGAAGAATCTGAGCAAAATGCCATCTACATACATACGTAATCGTATTTATTTCCATGTACTCCGGTTAGTAATGATTTAATACCAATTTTATAACTGTGTGCTCAGCATGGAGTACAAATACAAAGTGTGCGTACATATCTATTATTCCCAAGAAATACATATACATTTACATATAAAACTAATTTGTGCAGCAATCATGATGAGTATGCAGCCCTGTCATTTCAAGGGCTGTACATAAATCATGTGACCGATTATCGAGAAAGGTTTACCCCTACCCCACCCGAATGACCTACATACATACATATACGCCCCATGTTATTATTAACATTGGAAAGATAGCATGCCTTGACGCCTCCCACATGCCTTCTGCAGATCCCCAAACATACGCAGATTTTATTGAATAACTGACTCTTCTCGTTATACTGATAAGAAGCTACATTTATTTATATGCATACATACATGCATATTTACATACATATGTCGATCCCAAACTTTGTAATTTATTTCATTTATGTAAGTCATACCTAAATATGTATGTATCTTGAAGTCGTGTGCCAAGTCATCCTCCACGTCGTGCTATTCATTCTTCACATTAAGATAAAGTAAATGTTGCCTCAACCAGTAGCTCAATTAGTGTAAACTAGGTGGTTGCGACGATTCATTATTTGGTGCTTAAAATAATTGTTGTAAATATTTTCGAAACGAAGTTCCAGGGAGTAAGGTACATAATCTAATTAGGTAAATAATTTGACCATGCTTTTGCTGAACATGTGCAGGCTTTTTAACATTTTGCAATGCATTTATTGTATTTAATTTCATCCATTTTGCGCAATATATTTATACATAAATCCTCCCATCGAGAAGTGTAAAGTTATCTACATATGTAGATTGTTAATCTTTATCCTTTCAAATTCTAATCTGGTTATTTATGTTTTTAGTATTTACTATATGTCCTTCTTTGTAATAAATACCAATATATAGTTTATATTAGAAGTTTAATTTCGAGAAGACTATGTGTATAAATATTATGTATACATAGATAATTGCATTAATTAACAATATGGTCATTTTGTTTTAATTTAGGAACATATACAACCATCCATTTCCGCCCAGGATGGATGAATTATTCCTGCTAAATTCTCTAACGGTACCAAAAAAGCATTTCATATTATGGAGGAGTTTAAATTTGCAGATTAAATTTTACATTTCTAAATTTTATTTTGTTGTGGAAACAGAAAAATTCAAGTTTGTTGGGACCCCGGACTTCTGAAGTGACTTTACTAAAAATTCACATGCGTACAATGAAAGGGCCAAACCGGAACGTCAGAATTTACGCGGCTACGATTACGTAAATACAATGTACATATCTCGGATATGGGTAATTTGTGTGTACATTCGTTATTCTTGAATGGATAATGGAACGATTGGAAGACGTAAATTAGTCACGTATTGGTTATTTTCGTCGTCTCAAAATTAAAACTTACAATATTAGTACTGTATAGGACGAACTAATTTCTTGAATGAAAACCTTGCAGCAGATTTGTACATACATATATAAATTTGCAGGAAGCAAAAATGCATTTATGAACTTGCAGGAATATGTGTACATATTTTTCTCTTAAAAAAATTCCCAAGCTCACTTAAATGTCCGCAAGTTCCTTAAAAAAATTAATCATTATGTACATGGGAAAAAAAATTTCTAATTTCCATAAATTATTTTTTAATTACGTAATGCATGTCACTATTTTTTCAAATTTCCAAGAACATTGGGAATTTTAAAATTCCCCGCGTGCAGTATGGTCGTAGTATAAACAAATACAGTGATCTCGTAATCTATCTGCCGGTATGTAAGAGTGCGATAAAGAAAAACTGGAACTACCGGTTTAAAATTTTAACAACAACTAACAATAAATAAAATGTAACATTTATTGTTATCCATACACTGAAAAGTTAGCCATACGCGTTACCCATGAGTAGGAATGGGTAATCCGATCCGAAGAAATCCGATCCGATCCTAATCCGTCGGATTATGTCGGATCGGATTAAGGTTTTTTCCGATCCGGTCGGATCGGATTGGTTTAAAAATCCGATCGGATCAATCCGAGGCTTTCCATTGGATTTCGGATCGGATTTCGGATTGCATTATTTGGAGGAATCCAGCTTGCATCCTCTATTCATCCTACAGTTTGCCACTCACATATTTGACAAATTACGACAGATTTCAAAAAATAATCTCTCTCTCTCTCCCTATCCTACCTCGAACATAATTTGTCAACACATGCGTCTAAAATTGATTGGGCAAAGTCAAAAATTCTTGTTCAGTTAATATTAATAGTCGCAATTCGTTGATAAATTTTCTAAGAGGTTATTTGGTTGTTCGAAAGCACTACGAAATAATCTGTCACGAAGCTTTTAGATTTTTTCAAGCCTATAATATTTGGTGAACGGTAATTAATTATTAATTACAGTGAAGAAAATTAAAGTGTAGGATGGATAAAGTGTTCTATCTCAAACGATGGCCACGATCATAGCTTGAAAATTTGCAGGGTGCAATCCCAGAAATATTGTGATTGGATCACGTCCTTATTTTTGAAAAATTTCAAAAAGCTATTAGTTAAAGCTAATGCAAAAAGCTAAGGGTCACTATTTTTGACTAACAAGCGCACTTCTCAAGTCTCGCGTTGACTTGCTTTACTATGGGGTTTTATTTCTTGACAAATATATAGCTCAACTGGATGTGAACATATTGATATGTTGTACATTTCCGGACGATTTTTTGAAGTAGTGAATTTTTTAGTAAGGCGAATTTTAACAATTTGTCAAAACTCGCCTTATTAAAAAATTCGCTACTTTGTTCAAAAAACCGCACGGCTGTGTTCAAGATATCAAAAGTGCGTTCACATTTCGCTATCGATAAAAATAAAGCCTCCAATGAAACATATCGTCATGAAACTTGAAAAGTTACCTTTTGGGTCAAAAATTGTGACTTTTGACCTGGACGATATTTTTAAAATTCAGGAACGGATTCAACCCCAATATTTTTCGGCTACCCCCCTGAAAATTATCAAGCTGTTATCGTGGCCATTGTGTGAGATAGAAACGTTTATCCATCATGCAATTTAATTTGCCCCCACTATTAACTATTGCCTATTCAATAGGAAGGGTGAAATTTAGATGGCTTTGTCGGTTTTTAGTAACCATATACTAATAATTAATTATTGAACCTAGTGTATATGTAATGCATATTGGGTAGTATTATTATCATCTCTTGAGTAGGTACACATACTATTGCTCATGGCTTTTCTAAAGAAATCGCGTTCAAATTTAAAACGAGGCCGCTTATGACTCTGCTGCAGGGTACCAGTGAGATTTTTTCTAAGGGCCGTATGCAAACTCAAAACCTACTTTGTAGACTTGATATAGCCCGAGTCAGACCAACGTGATTATCCCTCAATCCCACTTTTTGAATGACATTTTATCGTAAATGCATATCAAAAAACAATTTAAAAATTTAAATTGACTTACTTTTCCAACTTAAAAATTTAAATTGATTTTTCCAATTTAAAAATTTAAATTGATTTTCCAATTAAAAAATTTAAATTCATATTCTTCTAACAGTATCAATTAGCAGTCTATGTAGCAAATTTCAGCTTGATACGACGATTTAAAAAATCCGTAAAGGTCACCCAATTGGCTCCCTCCAGATAAAAATTGCCCCGATTTTAATTCATATTGTTTAAGCCAAAAGCAACCTCAGCAATTTCAGCTCTACTATATATGACAATTTTGAAAAATAGGTATGGGTCAACCTACTCCTACTGGGTTCCTCCTCCTTTGTTACAAAACAAAGAATGGATTATGGGCCAGTGCATACGGCACTATCTGCATATTCACACGATGGTGGTGGTGTACGTACGCAAATGAGTTTAAGCGGTGAAAAGCCCGATTTCTTTAGATCTGACAAAAGCAATATGTACTACAGATGTATGTAATTATTGCCAGTATTGGATTTTATATAACCGGTTTAGTAATCCGATCCGATCCGATCCGAAATCCGTCGGATTGATCCGAATCGGATCGGATTGGTCGGTCAATCCGCCTCGGATCAATCCGATACCGGGCATAATCCGAGTCGGATTGATCCGAAGACCCCAAAATCCGATCCGATCCGATCCGAACCCATTCCTACCCATGAGAAATTACTGACACCTTGTTTTTCTCTTTAATAATAACCACTGTCAGAATATTATTCAATCACATCAGGATTTTAGGGTTAATATTTATATGATATATTTACCCCAGGCATGGCAGTAGGCCGAGCATATACATCCCGGACTGCTGTGGCCACATTAGTTAAGTAATTTTGAAATACCTTACCATATCTAATTGTTGCCTCTGATCATATCTTCTTCAGAGTAGTAAATGAAAATGTGTAAGTCCAGTGATGGTAAAAACTTTTCCGCTACAAATTATTTTTCTTTCGTGGCTCAAACTGTAACCAATCCGAATTGAGCCAACGTAACCTAACGTTTGCCACGTTTGAACGGTATTTCAAACGAGTTGTACCTTCATAAATAATATTTTGGAGAATATTGTTTCGCAAATTCATTTTACGCACTTCATGCCACGAAGTTCATGGTAGGATCAAATTGTATTAAAATGGACGGCAATCATACCGTTTTCAGATTTGAGTCGTACCCTTGTTTCAACTCGTAATACGATTAGCGGATAGATGTCTAAGTTAAAAACAGCGCCAAATTTATTGTACTAATTTGATGTTGTTATGCATATGGACAAACATACCGTAAATACTCTATTTATAGCCGGGTCTTGAGCCCAACTTTGAAAAATTTAATAAGGTTGTCCTGAATTATGCCATTCCTTTAACGTCCGTTTTTAGATGCTTCAAGTTATGCACAACTGAAAAATAATTTACCTGGGTCTCTAACTATACCCGGTTTAAAATTGTATATTCGGATTTGTTTCGTCTTTAGACCCGGCTATAAATAGAGTCTTTACGGTATGTAAATTTTTCTGCGTTGTGCTCATTTCCACGTGGTATGCTGGAATATTTAAAAATAGTAAAATAACTAGTACATATTTGTTGAGATGAATTCCAGTAGCTGGAGAATTTCATAGTTTAGAAAATCAGATTAATAAATAAGATGAGCTAGATTATTTCGTAAGGGTCCACGTGATGCATGGTGGTAACAGTTGTGAGTACTTATAATTGTAGCCCATTTTTTCTGCAACAACGATTTCAAGTAGATTAGGCCGAAAATTATTTTGAAAGAGATGTCTTATTTTGGAATATGGATTCTGATCCGAGGGGCCAAAAATTACATAAATTGATAAAATATGTACATATGTACATGATTATATCGGAAATTATCATCTTGGCGACAAGTAATTTCACTTTCACAGCTTAAAAAATCTATCATAACATTCAAACACTTGATAAATGATAGGCCTAAGCTACAATGTAACAATTATAATCGTTACCATTCTGGATTCTGCTAAACATGGTTGAAATTTTTAGCACTTGAAGGGAAGAAAATTTTCATTAAATTGTATTGAAAGCAGTAAAATTTGCCCGGATGTATATATTTATTTCTTTATTAATTAATATTATGCTAAATCTAAATTTGAATAAAATATTTAATATATTTTTCAATAGAAAACAATATGAAATAGCCTGACCTAAGAATAATAGTAGTACTTTGAATTTCTCATTATATTTAAGCAGCGATTAAAATGTAATTAATCGCGATAGATAAATATGCATACGCTTACTACTTTGTGAATGGATAATTGACTTTTGTATAAATATTAGTATGAAGAATAATAAAACACTTACAATTTTAATTCTTAATAGTTTAATTTAAATAAGTATTCTAAATTATAAAAATTTTGTAATTATAATTATTCACAAAATTTCTTATTAATGCATGGATAAATAATTATAATTACAAAGTTGTAGAAGAAAACTCCACTATTAAATGCAGCTTACTAATAAATTCTCCACTTTTTCAATTTAATAGAACTGCTGGGTTGAGTTGAGTTCAGGAGTCACACTCACACTCGGCAAATGATCAGACGTCGGTTATGAATGACTGATAAAACCTCAAAATATGAATACAAAATGACCGTAAAAATCCCCAAAATATGACCATAAAAATGACTTTATTTTTTAATTTTGGGCTTAATTTTTGATAGATTTTCTTGTAATGCTCATTTTTTATCAAATAAACCAGTTCTGGGGTGATTTAATGCATTCCGAATAAATTAAATCACCTTAGGCGAAAGTGAACGTAAATTTCTGAAAGTTTCTCACAATGAATCATTGTGAGAAAACTGAGTTTTTTATCATTTTCTGGCGATTAGGTAGGAAAATCTAAGAATTTGGCCTAAAATCATAAAATCAACCAAAAAGCCCGAAAATAGGATCAAGAATATGACTGTCACAAAACCCGAAAAAATGACAAATATGAGAAAATATGCTTTGACCTGCGTGACCTACTGGTGACCATAAACATTCTCAGAAAGTTTGGCGACTGTAGGTCAATAAATGGAAAAAGTCATTTTTCATTCATATCCGACGTATGCAAATGAGTGCATGGCGATTTATTTATTTTGACTCAGATTGCACCCGTTATTAGCTAACCCTGCGTAGCATGAGAGCTATTGAATTCCTCCTGTCCGTCCGTCTGTCTGTCCGTCTGTCTGTTAACGACCTTTTTGCATCAATTGATGCTAATTAAAATGTCCCTGCTCCATTTTTTCATAAATTTATAGCACCGTTGGTATCTGACAATCGGAAACACCAAATGATGCGAAAGAATTGAGGGCTTTGATGCATAACGCACCAATAATGCATACTACTCGGCGGATTTTATTAGACAATTTTGCCGTCAATTTTTCAAAATTATCGTTGTTCGTTCGTAGGTAATTCTGCATCAGTGATGCACAATTTTTGGACTTTCCTCGATGCATAATAATTATTAATCTATTTTGTTTAATTGTTCTGCACCATTGGTGCAATATTGCATAAAAATTATTGATCTACTTTGTTGGATTTTTCTGCACCATTGGTACATAATGGCATAAAAATTATGTATCTATCTTGTTGCATTTTTCTGCACCTTTGGGGCAACTTATAACCAAATCAATATTACAGGGTGAGCTACTTCTAACGTTACTACGGTTTATTTTTCTTTGATTTAAGGGAACAAAATCAACATCAAATATGAAAAATATTTCAAAGCTTTTGTCATTTGGAGCCACAAAATCAGTGCCATCTGTCAATATTCATTGTAGCATGCGAGCTTTATGTAAATTAACACCCTTTAAGGGCAGTTTTTTATGTACGTGTGCATGAAAAAATGGAACTGATGGAACAAAATGGCCGCTGACGGGATAATTTTTTTCCGGGTTTCAAACCTCAATTTGGGGAATTATCACGCTACCTACCAGTGAGTAGACAAACAATCAACCATGCGATTTCACAACTTAACGCTTACTAGAGGAATAATTTTATTTCAATACATTCTAACCAACGCTGATGTAAATTTTTAAATTTTGCAATTAGGTGGAAACATTGGACTGAAAGGAAACAATTTTATACCATTTTTATTTAGAGTAAAATAAATTGGGATGACGTTCCACTGTACGGGATGGAAATTCCGTCCTCTATAATTCTGTAGTAACCGAAGTGTCGAAGTCGATACGTTCCTTTAGGGAAGGAGGGGTCCACAAACCAGGAAATCTCACCATGATGGTTAACAAGATTCCAGTAAAACCTGAAATCCCAGTAATTAAATGAACAAATTATTCAGAAACATTGGCTGTTCCTTCATGCAAAGTAAACTTACGCTGTGTCAACGTCAGCATCCGTTTTAACCGTGGTCCACCTTCCGTCCTCAAGTTTATCAACCGTTAGAAATGTTCCCTTCCGCATGGGCGAATTTCTGGGGGACCCGGCGTAAAAAACGGCACGTACTTCGGTCTCTGTAATGACTGTGTAGGTGGGTCCAACATCGATGATAACGTCGCCAAATTCAGCTCCATTCGTTGGAGTGGGATCCGCCCTAGGTTTAACGTCGTCAGGGAGCAGATGAAGAAAACTTGGGGCTGGATCACCAATCGGGATGGACTCCGGGGTTCCCTACGAATTGGTGATTTAGAATTATGCAAATTATTTTATCTCCCACTTATCGACAAATAGGTTTCTGGCTATAGCTGCAGTTTATTTTAGTTTATTGTGTTGTAAAGGTACTTACGTCTTTCAAAGCTACCGCCATTTCTTGAAGAAGGGTTGTAATCACGGGTAGCGTGTTTCTTCCGTATGCCGTCGCACCGGCTTCATACTCCTGAAATTCGTACTCCTCCGGTGTTGCGACATAGTTGATGTAGTTGTTCGACAACCCGGCTACGATGACTTTGTCCCCGGTAGCGTTGAAAATAGCGTTCCGAACGCGACGACCCGCCATTGTGGTGAATTCCCCGGGAACACCGGCCAAGAAGATAGAACCAAGCTGGAGATTCTGCAACTCCACGATAGATGGAGCCCACTGCCAAGGGTCGTCCATCTCTCCTGCGGCGAGGGCCACAATTTTAGGACTGTGTGGAATGATAGAGCGATATTAGGGGAAAAGTATGTATTAGCCATTCAAAACACTGTAATAAATATAGGTAGGGAATTTCAAAATTAAACTCGTCGATTATGTAAATATGTAACTAGTCAATTGATAAGACAACTTTAATCGATAAGTTTTTCTTTAAGTTAGCGTCAAAACCAAAATGGTTGATGTGGTTTAAACATACGTTCCGTAGAATTAAGACTTATTAAATTTTTGCTGGTTTCGGCTCGAGGATATTTTAAAAGTTCAAAAACCCACGTGGCCGAAAGGGCCGATTAGTGCCCTTTCTCTTACTAACCTTTGGCATTGAACCATTTCTTCTGAAGGGGCTTTGATGAGGTCTCTGATAGTTTCAAGAAATGGGAATTCTTCCGGGTCGAGACCCACATAGCCGAAACCGAGGGCACCCTTGCACAACGACATGGTCTGTGTTTGACCCGTTGATTCGTCGAAACGTTGAACTTCAATCGTTTCCGTGTCCACATAACGATGAACGGATCCAATCGGACCGGAAATTGGCTGAAGGTTTGCGATATCGTTGAATAATTGAGTCGCCTTGTTGAATAGTTTGTTCCCATTGTTACGTAACCTGCGAATAGTAATAAGCGGAATATATGTAGTAGGATTGTTGAATAGACCGGAGGAAAGTATGACATATGTGTGATATGAAAAATTAGGGTGCATTTAATTTTTCTAACAGATAACATTGTTTTTAAGAGTGAACGATTTGTCCACAGCGGTTAGACTCAAGTTTCCCGCAAACACAAAAACCTTTTTTGGACCAAGTTTCCCAAGGTGTAACATAATTGTCGGTAAACCAATATCTTCAAATATGTGCTAAAAAATGAACTTACTTTCTCATATCGTCCGTGAGGTCGATTCGGCTTGGGCTTATGATTGGGTCATTATTGTCGGGGGCAACGTCGCCCAAATTCGTGGAGCCAAAACCAGACACGAATTTGCCTTTGCCCGGCAATGTTCCTGCCGGATTAAGAGCAGCATCGAAAAGGACGGCAGCGTACCCCGTGGATTCCGAGCAAACTAGGGAATTACATAAGCAGAACCTTCAGACTTTCAGATTCTCCCTAAAATCCGCCAATAAATCACTTCAAAAATTTGAACAAATATAATCATTCTTTATATTAAGAACCTTAAATTATTTAAACTTTTATTAATAAATTTTGCCACAAATATTTACCGAGTGGGTTATCCTCCCGCTGGTTGAAGGAGAGTGGGTGGAGCGGGTACCAGGCGAACAGTCCGATCGGGTTGTCCGCCAGATCGACAAATTTGAGGATGATCATGTCCTTATCGACGGAATATGGATAAGCGTCCCGCTCCTCTTGTGGATTCATTTCGTACTGATCCATTCTCCGATTTCTGTTCGTGTCGAGGAGTTCGCCTTGATGCCAAAAGATTTTACCGTCTTGCAAAGAAAGCTCGGCGGCCGTGATGGCGTCAACTATCCCGTCGACCGCAGCCCTAGTGGACAATGAATGAGTGGAAATCTTGAGATGGTTTTTAGCGAGAAAGATAGATTCATTTGAATTTATGAATTTCTGTTATGAGACTTGATAAATACATCCTGCAGAAAGACGCAAAAAATTGGTGGTGTTCGGATTTAAACACGGAAATCTAATTAGTTCAGCAATAGGAATTTTAAATATCAGGTACATAGATAAGGTATAAGCAAATGAGACTACGTCCAGCTAGTTGGCAGTATTTAATAACTTTAATCGGAAATCAAATCACGTTTCGTGCAGAAGCAAAGCGTTTAAAATGTGCCTAAATGCTGTCCAGACTGAAAAACATTGAGGTCAGCACACATGTTTCTAAGATTTTTTCTATCAAAACTATGCATTTTCAAGGGGAAACTTAAACAGCGACGAATTTAAATACATCACGTACCAGTAACTAATCGGATTGAATTTTTGCGACTCGATCACCAAGTAGGCGAAATACGTCATGAAGCCAGAAACCCCGCTGTGCGTGTGAGTCCCGCTTATCAAAATGTTGCTCTCATTGTATTTGGAGCCGAACTTTGCGGCGAGTTTCGCCACAACAGCGGGCTTCATTGAGTGGTCGATCATCCCCATGTCGCAAGTTACGTAAGTTATCACGTTTCCCGTAGTGATGGATTCCACGACGAAGGCGCGGGCATATTGACGCGTATGAATTCCCGCCGCGTATGTGAAAGGGTTGATGTGACCGTTCTGAAAAAAATATGTAAATTTAAATATTTACATCTCTTCTTGAGGGAACTAAACTATGCGACCTACATATACATATTTTTGTTTGTACAGTGCTAAAAACCTTGTAAAGTCACGATGGTTTTGATTTTTTAATATTAAAGTTGCTACCATTTGGTATTAAAATTATTCCGTTCCTTAAAAATTTACAATCGATCTGATAAAACTTTAATGGCCAGTAATTTGTGCACGGCATTACTTATCAATTAAACTTTGGTAAGGTCGTAAATCAATACAGCGTGGTATTCTTTAATACCGGATTTTCAAGGTGCATAAAAATAATTGTATTATCCAGGTTTTAAACCTTCTCGACCCCCTCATGTGTATGTATTAGTTTCTTAAAATTTCATTATTTTCAGAAATATTGATAACATTTGTGTAGCCACTTACCAAAACAATACCGGCCGGAGGTCCTGTAATATCGCCCACGCCCACGCCAATTTTGTAAACGCCATCGGTATCAGTTCCCCACGTGGCAGAAATAAAACCCACCGCAAAAAGAATACAAGCGTAGGAAAACTCTGAAGTTTTCATTATACGAAAAATTACTCGGCTCCAGAAATGTGAAAATGTGCTCGTGAGAAGGACGAGTAAAGGTGTGGCAGAAAATTGGAGTAGTCAATTAAGCAATAATTGGCAATACATGATGGATACACGCATCGCGGAACGAGGAGGACATCGGGGGCACGACAAGGGTGAACAAGATGAACAACATGGAATGCACGTGTTCAAAAACCTTCATTTATAAATCGTTTATTAAAGGTTTATTTACAGTTTTAATCGTTTAATTGATACACACTTAGCAAAGCGGTATTGAATCATCACCAAACGGGGAGCCCACATGACTTAACCAAATTGTGATAATATTTACCCCACATTGTGATAAATCTTCCCCACAATGTGTAAACCTAGCACTGGATAGTGAGGATTTAACACAATGTGGGGAAGATTTATCACAATGTGGGGTAAATATTATCACAATTTGGTTAAGTCATGTGGGCTCCCCGTTTGGTGATGATTCAATACCGTTTTGCTAAGAGTAATATTTTGATCATATTTTAATACATATAATAAATACTTTCATTCATACACTCTTAAAAATGAAGTTACTCTTTTATGAGTAAACCCACTGTGAATTCTATGAAAGGTAAATATATACATACGTAAGTAAATAAGTAAACTAGACTAAATTCATAGTAACTTGATAAGGCGTAAAGTTTATTCTGTTACTTTATTAGTTTACATACTTGGTCTGAAATTCAGAACGGATTTAAGTTTCAAAGGAATACCGTTATTTTTAAGAGTGCATATTATATATATATATGTATTTATTTTACTTCCGTCGTTCCAACAATAACCACATTGTAAAAGACGGCCTCATTTTCGTCTTCATGTTCCTCATAATCTCTTCAAATATTGTCAACGAAGTATGAAAAGTGTGACTGGGCTAGCATTCCGCGTCCACTGTATTTGTATGTACGAGTAGATTAGATATTGATACATAATTGTGAAATACTTAACTGACGCTTAACACCAGACTTTAATTGAGTTGATTCATTGACGGAGCAAGTGTGGTGACGAGATTAGATTGTGACACACTCGGTAAAACCAATGTCATGGGGATCATTCTTTGAGGGGGTATGCAGATGCAATACCACTAGGACTAACTGACGTCATTTTAGAAATTCAATACCAGGCTTTGTTATAACTCTACCAAAGTGGCATCGATAAGTAGTACCGTGTATTAATAGATGTATAATGAGCAGCTTGACATCGAAGCTTTACCATACGAGTGACAAATTTTTATGGACTGGGATAATTTTAATATCGACCGGTATCAACTTCATATATTTCAAGGTTTGGTCGGAGATTTTCAATCTCCTTATCTGAGGTTGCCAGCTAACTTGCAAGATTGACAAGCAAGACTTACAAATGAATTGGGAAATTGGGAATCTGTTCACCATCGATATAAGTAGAACACGTGGTAGCTCGATGAGAGTTTTCTTCAGAAGCTTATGTGTAACTCAAGGTTTTTCTTCATTGGTCAATCAATACCTTAGAGACAATGACCCTTAATTTATATTCGGGACTGCGGGATGATAATATATTAATGGCAGATGAGAAAGGCTTGCCCTCGTCCAACCAAAAATTAGAATTTGCAGCCCTGCATTTTTAATGCAAAACTTGTTAAACACGTGCCAGACACAATGCAATTGTTCCATTGTATCAAAAATATTACAGCTTAATTCACTCTTTTGTTACTTCCATACAAAAAGTTCTTTTCATGATGTCACCACGCAGAATATTTTTGGTCTCTCTGTCACATGTTTTAACATTCTTCCTCCTCCCTGATCAAACGACTACTACAAACGGCGAGTAATAAAAATCTTATAAATTTGCGAGAATTAATTTATTAACATAATAATTTTTTGTTTAGGTAACGGAAAGAATGATATGTTGGTCAACGAGCCAGACAGCTTTTACCGAATCGTGGGAGGAAGTAAAGCTCGACAAGGCGAGTTTCCATGGATCGCCCAATTACGTGTGGATGGCAAACACTTCTGTGCAGGGACGATAATCAACGAAAATTTCATTCTGGGCGCGGTTAGTGGGATGCTTACTTAATCTGCTACATGTGTACATAGTCTCAACCCTCTTAAAAATAATTTTACTCTTTTCAAAGGTAAATCGACTCTGAATTGTGTGTTAAGTAAATGAAAGTAAATTCAGAGAGAGCAAAGTAGAGTCATTATAGAGTAAAGTAATCAATTTCCCCTTTCATAAAGTAAACTCTTTATAAATTTAATGTTGCCCTAGAATTAGTATAAGTAAATAGCGTCCTTAATTACATACATATTTATTTAGAGTATATTTACATTTCAAAAGGGTAGCACTATTTTTATGTAAGAATGCAATCAAGTGCGATTGCTCCAAGATTCAAGTTACGCGACACATTGGGCGAATTTTGTGGGTATCGTTAAAGCAGATTATGATTAATATAGAAATTTAAAAACCTAGGCACATTGTGCTGGACCACCTGAATGGGCAACGTTCGTGCTAGGAGAACATGTCCAAAATGCGGACGACGGAATGGAGGTTGTGGCAAAGGTCGCGGAAATAATAGTACATGAAAATTTCAACCAGTAAGCAAGAGTAAATATTTATTTATATGAACTTCATATATTTATACAGGGTGATTAAAATGTCACGCTACAGTGAAAAATTTTTCAATAAGAAGAACCCCTAATTCTCCATTAATCACATGATTTGAGATTGAGATCATTCTAATTATTATCAAAACTGATGGAACACTGATGACAAAATTCTTAAAATGTTGAATTTTAGAGACTAAATTTTAGTAACTAATAGAAATTTACGAATTTTTTCCATGGAAAAATTTTCCATTGAAGCGTGACATTTTAACCACCCTGTACTTACATAAGTAATTGACCTCCACGCTCCCTTATTTTTTCTAAATTATTCGTTTGACAACCAATTGTATGCATTCATACATTTGTGTAACAATTGTTTATCTATTGTCTACTGGTATTTTTTTTCAGCATAGATAAGTACGCAGTTTTAACTTTATTTTATGTACCTCATTTCAGGACAACTTTTACTCATGACATTGCCTTGTTCCGACTAACACGTCCACTGACCTTCAGCAACCCCTTCATTCAACCAGCCCGAATAGCAAAGAAGTCGACAAAACCTTCCAAGAAAATGGTTGTGGCCGGGTGGGGGCTTACTAATCAGAATAACACCGAAGTAAGCGACATTCTACAAAAGGCCACGGTCGCCTTAAGACCTGATTCTGTCTGCAAACAGGCGTACGAACCCACCCGCGTCAAGTATGTGTCGGATGTGCAGATTTGCGTGGGTGGTGAAGGAAAAAGCAGCTGCAAAGGGGACTCCGGTGGTCCGCTGCATATTGGGAGGAACACGGTAGACTACACGGTTGTAGGAATCGTATCCTTCGGTAACGTCAAGTAGATCAAATATATCTGATTTTGTGAAATTTCATATCTACATAAATACAGATATCTATGAATTTCCTCATAGCCGGCTATTTTACACAGCCCTTGTAACATTGTTCACTCAATAAATTCTGTAAACTATTTACAAACTTTAAAAACATTTCGAAGGAAAATTAGCTTACAAGTTTCTATAAATTTCCAAAGATGAAAGGCGTCTTTTTATGGGGCAAAAGTGTGAAAAATAATATTACAGAACCTACGGATTTTAAGAATTAACCATGACCGTGTAAGTTCGCCATTACAAGCATGGATTTAAACTATGTATGCATGTATTTACGGATTCAAATTAGTATTTATTTTGATACAGCCAGTTATGATAAACAGTTTTTTTTTGCAAATCAACTAATGTCAACTTGTCATATTGAAACGAAGGCATGTTCGGATAATATTTTCAGTAATTAAGTCAGACAAATTTCTGCTGCAATTGAGATTCTTTCAAGATTTGCCATAAAAGGAATGAAATATTTTTTTGCAGGTAAAGGCTGTGCGTCGAACCAGTATCCGGCCGTGTATACCAAAATTTCTGCCTATGTGGACTGGATTGAAGAGAATATTAAGGGTATGAATTATGGAGGAAAGGGGGAGGCAGGAAATCCAGAAAAATCAATATTCATCGACCTTAAATCTTAAGCAAGTTAAGAATACTTAAGAAAAAGTAGATTAAAAATAAGCAATCATTTACATTCAGTACATTCATTAAATGCAAAATTAAATTTGGCCAGGATCCTTAATTATTGTTCGGCATGTCAGGTTTAACGGGTCAGCACCACCAATTCACTCAATCCCCTACAGAAAGAAACTATTAGGACACGGTCCACATTTCTTAAAACTTTTGAACTTCACTTTACAACTAAAAGCAATTTGAGCTTTATTCTTAAGCTACGAATAAGTAATATGTGAGTACGTCATATCCTTTCGGTTCGAATACACCTATGTAAGAACAATTATCAACTGTATCATTTTGACTATACATATTTGATATTATTACAATCGTTATCGGGTAGTTAAACTTGTAACAATTACACAAGCTAAGAACGTGCACAAATTAAATATTTTGCAAAAATTTTGTAGTTATTTTTCATTTGACACGACTGGTGGATTCCATGCATGAATGGCTTCATAATAAAATATACAATGACGCAATAAAGCGCAGAAAATAAACCGAATGAACGGAAATACGTCGTATTTTTTTTTACTTAAAATCTGAACCGTGCTTCGCGAGCAATCAATCTAACTCGAATCATACTCCGGGCCGTACATTTGCCAAGAATAAACTGATACAAAACCGTTCACCGTAATAAGTACTAACATTTCTCAAGTAATCGCCCAAAACTATTTAAATATTTCCAATAAGGAAACCAATATTACTTAGTTAATTATTCATGTCTTATCTAGATTGACGTATTTGTCACTCGCATCGAGATGTCAGGCCTTTCAACCGCCTCTGTTGTCTTTTTGATTATCTCCGCTCGCCTTGCAATAATTGGGGCCGAATTGTCTGACGAAAATACCCCTGCCGAACGATTCAAGAGGGATCCTCAAATTAAAAAAAGGCAAATGCACGTGCCCACCACATTTCGACTACAAGGATATTTATCAAAACTACTGCGGCCACGAGCTAACCCCACGCAACAAGTGTTCCCAGCACACCGCGTATAAATGCCATGGTAAGAATTCCGTTGCGACAGGAAAACTGTGCAGCGTTTGGAAAGAAATGTCAGCCAAGCACCAAAACGTCGAGAGGGTGGAAGCAATGTCTTGACGAATAAGCTGACCAGTCGTTTGGTGGGGAATGAATTAAAATGTCGGATATCGCATGCAAAATATTTTCTTATATATACATACATGAATAAATAAAATCGAGTCAAACGAAGCTAACAAAAAGTAGCGTCAAAGCGATTGAGATTTTAAATTAAAATGACACTATATTTATTTATATGATAATCATGTATGTTTGTATTTTATACATTTGACATCGCCCACACGGTAATGGGTGGGTACTTGGCATATGTACATTACACATTTTTTTACGGTGAAGTCCATTCATAAAACAAGTGGTCGTTTGGGTTTTTCTTAAAGTTTACGACCAAGTGTCATGGAAGAGGTGAGGATGAGACGTAAGCGATATCGTAACAACTGAGTAAAATCTACCCAGTTGTTGTTTCATCCTTTATTTAATTCAACCCTGAGTAAATTTAATTGTATTTATTTAGTGTGGGGAGCAAAAATTTAAAAACAAAATTTCAAATAAAAAAAATTGCAGTCGTAATCGAAATACATCGAAGTACATACATACATCGAAATACTCGCGTTGAGTTGCCTCAAATACAAAAAACAAGACAAATATTTTCGAATCGTAAAACTAGAAAATTCAATTATATCTAGTGTAAACCGGGCGACTGCCGGCGCCCCCAGGATTTGGCACCACTGACAACTGCTGAGGTTGACCACCCCTAAATCGCAATCGGGGCATTTTGTTGTGACTAATTTTTAGCTAAATTGTTACGAAATTCAACCTTGATTACTCAATCCACTAATTAATTCTGGCATACCTAGTTTATGTACACTCTCAGCAAAATTGCCACCAAAATCGTCTCCTCGTGTAGGTATTATGCAACTCTACCGTAGGGTAATAATTTACCTCCGTCCGTTGACAAGTGTGTTTTGTCTCCCGAGCGGAGGTAAATATTATTGTCACCTACCGGGATACAATTTGTTACTGTCGATTACAGAATGCATTCAACGGAGGTAAGCTGTGTCTTCGATTGGAAATAATTTACCTACATGTGGTGACAATATGGGTGACAAGTTATCACCGTCTTGCGCATATATTTATCTCCTTGCGGTAATAGATTAGAACCCGGGGGAAGCAAATATAGTTTCTAAAATATGTATTTATTTATTTAAATACGACTTGGCTAGAGATTAGAGATCTTCCTCTGCATACTACATATATACATAATATAAATTAAATTGTACATGCTTATATACATGTACATATGTATATCACTTATAATGTTGGTGGAAATTGATTCTCGTACTAGCTGGCTCGAGTTTATTATTCTTCAGAAGATTTGCCTGGTATCTACATATAAATCAAATAAAATTAAAAATATTACCCTGCAGCACTCAAACTAAATAAATCGCTGCTTAACCGAAATAAAAATAAAATAAACAAAAATGAAATGAGGGCCCACCTGTTCATAATTTGACATTTCGACCACCTTTTTGAATTTGACGCACGGAAAGAATTTGGCCTAATTCTGGCCAAAATAAATGAAGTGTCAACTGTATAAATTTTAAGATCACACTCAAAGAGAAATTAAACTTATTTACTACTACTTCAAATTGAGTTTTATCTTACAATAACAACATCTTCCACGAAGAGTTCCGTGGAACACGCAACGTTAGAGATGAAATTTTTTTTCCAGTAAAATAAGGAAAATATCTTCATCTCAATCTGAGCCATATTCATCTTTGAACGAAATTTTCGCATCCGGATCTAGGAAAAACTTGTTTTAGTGTAAATATTTAGGACAAAACACAATAAAATTAAAGCGGAAGCATCATATGAACTATGAATTAAAATTATTTACCTGAAATGTAGAGTAATCCATAATTTGAACCTCTAATTACTAATTTTATCTTCTGGTATTTTTTCTTGGATGCGAAACTCGAACAATTTTCGTTATTCTGCCAGATGCGAGAAAGAAACGTGTGTGAGAGAAAACTTAACTGCCACTAAACTTTTAGTGACGAAACTTTGCGCTGGGCTTTAAGGAGACAAATTGTCACCTACAGGAAATGATTTTGGTAACGAAATTATTTCCATGAAGGAAATAAATTATTTCCGGATAGGATACACTGTTGGTCACTTACAATGTTGACAATTTTGGTGACAAATTTATTACCTAATGAAAGACAGAGGTTGTTACCTTGTCAGGGTCAGAGGTGTTCACATTCATGAATTTAACGTTGTGAATGAATATTCATTCCTATATTCACCAATGTTAAATTCATGAATGTGAACAGGTCAGGGTAGTAAAAATTGTAATAATTTTTCTTCTAAATTATTGAGAGTGTACATTGCAGAATATTGACTAAAATTACCGCTAACCTTAACCTCACAATCTACTATTTTTTCTACTGAGGTCACAAGTGGAATTAATCTATCCTGTACGCAATTGAACCATTAAATAATTAAATCCAGAGCGCAATTTTCCAATAAGGAAACCAGGCCAATAATTTCAGATGGTAAAAACCATAATTTACTTGCGAAACTAAGAAGGTTTACATTTATTCATCAGCACAGATTTACATACATAAGTTACATTTTGCTCAATTCTTCATTCAACGATTCTCAGAATTTGGCCATAAAACTATTGCAATATCGGTCATATCGCGTGTAACAATCTGCTGATAGTCAATAATCTGCCCATAAATGTTTGCATTTATGTAAAGTAAAGTAAAGTCCGACCGAATAAATTTGCACAATTGCAAATTTGCACAATGTACTCCCCGAGTATGATCCCAATACACTGTCACGGTCGTGATTAATCCTTCCTGCTGCAATATCTTAACCAAGCAGAATAAAACCATAAATGCGGACCAAGTCAAAGCATATGCATACAAGCCCAAATTAAATGATGTATTAAATCCATAATAAGAAAAATTAAAAAGATAGACCTGTATATAAAGCCGGGTCGGACTCGAATTAGCGGCATAACAATTTATTCCTTTCACAGAGATTTATTAAGCAATTTCCATAATCATGTTCTCTACAACGGGCGTAATAGTATTTCTAATCTCAGCGACTGCAGCGGTACTCGCAGTTCCGGCCCGGGTTCACCTTACCCGTAGTTCTGAAGGGTACCAGGCTCAAATCCATGTCGAAAATCAAGACAGTGTCCAGCTCAACTTGAAAAAATCCGGTAAGAGTTTCATACCTTATTCAGATGCATAAATAGGTCGTGAGAATCCTAATTTTTCTTGCCCATTATTTCTGATCCAGCCACCCCTGTGTTCCATCCGGACTTTAAAATTTTTTCGGTTGGAAAGGACAGTGAATTTCATACCGATTTAACTCCTTCCAGACAGATTTTGGACGAGATAGAAAACTCAATTTATGAGGATGTCCGTCAGGGCGCGGTTGTCAGGTTGGTCAACGATGGAGCAGGAGTTGTAAGCTAAATTCTGTTTTTATTAAGTTGTATCCCATTACGCATGTCTAAATATAGAGTTTTTTTATTTACTTTATCGAACGGTTTGCATAGCATGGATTCGTGGGGAACATGAGGATCTACCACGACGACGGAAACCATGACATTTCTCAAATTCACGATTCACTCGATCAAAGAGGAAAAAGCGACTTTCGTAAAAAATTAATTAATTAAAACCTGATAAAATATTCCAATTTTAAGAATTTTTAATAAATTTTGAAAAGTGGAGATTCCGGAGGAGTATCGCCAACCAAAGAATTTGTCCGTGCAATCGAGCGGAATTGGGATCCAGGCCGTGGCAAATGTTGAGTTATTTCTTGTCATCGATTACGCCACGTACCTGCTGTTTGGCGCGGGTACGAGGAGAATTATAGAATATGAGGCCCTCTTTATCAAGGGTGTCGGCAACATTTTCGCCACAAATAACGACCCCATTGTAACTTTCCAAGTTGTGGGAATTCGTTTTATGACGGTATGAACCTCATGCTCTACGGGTTGTACATATATCTCCATACATATATTTACACATATATGTCGATACATTTTAACGGCGTCCGTAGCATCTCCCAATGTCGGCAAAATCAAAAATATCTTTACGACGCTTAGATCTTTAAGATATCTTATTTTGTATCATTTTTTTTACAACACATAAAATATTTATTGACCGATTGATTGTTTAACCCAGAGTTCAGGTATCTTAAATTTACGGAAAATTTGCCCAACAAATATGACTGCATAGGAGTCGCACAAAATCATTTTGTATCTTGTAGATCTACAGGCTGTACGTATTTGGAGATCATAAAGATTTTATTAACATACATATGTGTGTAACGTGTCATTTACTGAGTTTGTACTGGGACCCAAGGGCCGATAAATTATTTAAACCTAGTCCAAACCCTACAATAACTAAGGGATACTTTTCAGGCTCCTGCTCAACAACCGTTCATCGAGAATAATAAACTTTCCGGTGTGATTAGCAACCTTGAAAACGTCTTACGACAATTTAGTACTGAAAGCTTACAATTTTCAACCATTACGCAATTATTTGTCAAAACTAACCTTATATTTATTTATACGAAAAGACGGTTACCTTGCGTCAAACACCGCTATTCTTCCAAATTACGATGTTGCTGCACTAATGACCGCCGAAACGGTAATGAGAGGACAACCGATCGGATATGCTTTCACTGAGGGCTCTTGTAATGTCAACGTTCGAGGAGCGGTTAGTCAGGATCAATCCGCCAGCTTTATTGGCGTCCGACTACTCGCGCACGAACTTGGTCACACGTAAGAATTTTTAAGTATTAATTATTGTGAGAAGGTGCAAAATAGGTTACAGGTTATAATGCTTATCTAAATCTTCTGGCTTGATTTCGTAAAAGCCTGCGGTAGAAAGTTTACACATTTTCGAACCCGCGGGTTACGCTTTTATAAACTAACATTTTAAATTAATTAACATTTTTCAACTAACTAGCATTTTAAGAAATTATGAAATTAAAAAATTCGCAGACTGGGGTCAACACATGACGGAACTGGTGAAGATGAGAACGGATGTACTCAAGACGATCATTTTATAATGCACCCTGAAATTGGACCTACGGGAGGCGAGAATCGGTTCCTGTTTAGCCAATGTAGCAGGAATTTGATGATCACGTTCATAGAGTGAGTCCCCAAATCTTGTCACGGTTGGTAAAATTGTTGTTTTAAAGTCAAATTTTTGACAAATTTGTACATATCCCTCAACTCTTACCACCAGTGACGAAATTATCCTTTTGAAAGTTATAGCTGCATGATGCCCGTATTAAAATAGTTTTATATTCCCATTAAGTTCCGCGACGTGCTTGAGGACCACGAATTTTGTAGGAACCCCGTGGACCGTTCCCTCAAACACTCCAGGCGATTTGGTCGATTTAAACGCCGTCTGTCGGGCTCTGTTTAACAGACCAAACGCCGTTGTGGACCCGACATTCACACCGGATCAAATTTGCGAAGGCGTTCGATGTCAGTATGACGAGGCGTGCAACATTAATAACTGCCCAATCAGGCCAGTTCAATTTAATCCTCCGAGTGCACCAGATGGCGCGCCGTGCGGGTCTAACAATGGGGTATGTTGACATCGTAATAAAACCGAGAACAAAATGTTATACAGCAATGTTTTTTCATTATAGAAATGCCAATTGGGAAGATGTGTCGTGGTAAGGAATTTATTTTTACGGAAATATATATATAATCTGTCCCGGTTATCAGGATTAAATATAAAGTGATAGCGTATTGGTAGTTTGGTAACTATTAGAAGCAACGATTTCTTTCAATACTCTCCTCTTAAGTAAAAATTTGAATTTCTTCGATAACTTCATACTCATGTTACAAACGCGATCAAGCCTTTTTCATCCTAAGGTCGAATTACAGTCCTTATGTGCAATTGATTTTCATCACTAATTATATTCAGCCTCCCACCGGACCGTTTACTTGCACCGCGGAGGGAACATTCAGACACACCAATTGCCGCATGTACTACTGGTGTGTGAGAATTAGCGGAAATTTGTACACATATGTATTCACTTGCCCCACCGGGTCGTATTTTAATCCTGCTACACTAAAATGCGTGTTAGGTGGATGCTAAATAATACGCAAATATGTTGACGAACAAGAATATGGTGTATCGTATTGTATTTCCTTAAATAAACGTAACAATAATTAATATTTATTCTCCAAAATAAATTGCATTGCATCGATAGAAAACCTTCTCCACCTGTACATCAATAACATCACCGCTTTTTTGGAAGCTGTAATGTAGAATTTAAAAAAATCAATTACGTGTCGGATCATGGGTAATGCTATAATTAAGGTGAACATTTAATCCGTGTTGGTTTGTATTTATGTACATACCCACTTATTAAACATTGCACTTAGGGACCGCGTATTGCCAGATATGTAAGCTTTTATCCCGAGATACCGAGCAGACAACGAAGTACATTTATTCATCGTTTGTGTTAAAACTTCATACTCAGGGTCGTAAAAGTTAAAAAGGCCAATTCTTTAGACTATATACATCTCACCCATTAAACCAAATTAAGCAGCACATAAACCGTTACAACGAACGCAACCAATGGGTGAAAGTATAATTAAAGACAACTTTTCAGAGAAAACGCTGTTTACGGGAGGAGTGTTTACACACGTCAGTAACTTCACGCAATAACGTTTAGATAAAACCATCTATCGATGAGAAATATGTCAGACTTGAGGTCTGCACATCTTGACCCTGGTCTTCGTTATTAAGGGTGACTATTTGGTTTTTGTGTGATGACAATTGTGAAACTATATGAAGCATGATGCTAAATTAAGCCAACTTTTCACAGAAAACGACGCTTACGGGGGGAGCGTTAACACACGTCAGTAACTTAACGCAATAACGTTTAGATAAAACCATCCATCGATGAGAAATATGCCAGACTTGAGGTCTGCATATCTTGACCCTGGTTCTCGTTATTAAAGGTGACGATTTGGTGGGTGTGTAATGACAATTGTAGAAATATGCCAGACTTGAGATCTGCATATCTTGACCCTGGTTTTGGTTATTAAGGGTGACTTTTTGGTGCGTGTGTGATGACAATTGTGAAAGTTTATGAGGCATGATGCTAACTAAACCCAACTTTTCAGAGAAAACGTAGCGTACGGGGGGAGCGTTTACACACGTCAGTAACTTAACGCAATAACGTTTAGATAAAACCATCTATCGATGAGAAATATGCCAGGCTTGAGGTCTGCATACCTTGACCCTGGCTTTGGGTATTAAGGGTGACGTTTTGGTTGGTGTGTGATGACAATTGTGAAACTATATGAAGCATGATGCTAATTAAAGCCAACTTTTCTGAGAAAACGATGCTTACGGGGGAGCGTTTACACACGTCAGTAACTTAACGCAATAACGTTTAGATAAAACCATCTATCGATGAGAAATATGCCAGACTTGAGGTCTGCATATCTTGACCCTCGTTTTCGTTGTAAAGGGTGACTTTTTGGTGGGTGTGTGATGACAATTGGGAAACTATATGAAGCATGATGCTAATTAAAGCTCACTTTTCAGAGAAAACGTAGCTAACGGGGGGAGCGTTTACACACGTCAGTAACTTAACGCAATAACATTCAAATAAAACCATCAATCGATGAGAAATATACCAGACTTGAGGACTGCATATCTTGACATGAATTTTCGACTTCCTCATTGAAAAATGATGTGTCACATGTCAAAACTGACAAGTGACAATTTTTCGAAACTTTTCGTCACTGTGACGACGTCATCGTCACAGGTGACGATGTCACAGTGTCCATCTTCGAACTCGTCCTGTCCATTGACGTTAGGAGTTTACGTTTAAAATTTCAAGTGTCTTTTCGTTCAAAAGTTATCGGAGCTACGGACAGACAGACGGACGGACAGACAGACGGACGCACGGACGGACGGACAGACAGACGGACTTAACGATCTTATAAAGGGCTTTCACCCCTTAATAACGAAATCCAGGGTTAAGATATGCAGACCTCAAGTCTGGCATATTTCTCATCGATAGATGGTTTGATCTAAACGTTATTGCGTTAAGTTACTGACGTGTGTAAACGCTCCCCCGTAAGCATCGTTTTCTCAGAAAAGTTGGCTTTAATTAGCATCATGCTTCATATAGTTTCACAATTGACATCACACACCGACCAAAAGGTCACCCTTAATAACGAAATCCAGAGTGAAGATATGCAGACCTCAAGTCTGGCATATTTCTCATCGATAGATGGTTTTATCTAAACGTTATTGCGTTAAGTTACTGACGTGCGTAAACGCTCCCCCCGTAAGCAGCGTTTTCTCAGAAAAGTTGGCTTTAATTAGCATCATGCTTCATATAGTTTCACAATTGTCATCACACACCCACCAAAAAGTCACCCTTAATAACGAAAACCAGAGTGAAGATATCCCGAACTCAAGTCTCGCAAATTTCTCATCGATAGATGGTTTGATCTAAACGTTATTGCGATAAGTTACTGACGTGTGTAAACGCTCCCTCCGTAAGCTTGGTTTTCTCCGAAAAGTTGGCTTTAATGAGCATCATGCTTCATATAGTTTCACAATTGTCATCACACACGCACCAAAAAGTCACCCTTAATAACGAAAACCAGTGTCAAGATATCCAGACCTCAAGTCTGGCATATTTCTCATGGATAACGCAATAACGTTTAGATAAAACCATCTATCGATGAGAAATATGCCAGACTTTTGGTCAGCATATCTTGACCCTGGTTTTCGTTATTAAGGGGGATTGTTTGGTTGGTGTGTTATGACAATTGTGAAACTATATGAGGCATGATGATAATTAAAGCCCACTTTTCAGAGACAACGATGCATACTGGGGGAGCGTTTACACACGTCAGTAACTTAACGCAATAACGTTTAGATAAAACCATCTTTCGATGGGAAATATGCCAGACTTTAAGGCTTAATATATTGAGCCGTAGTTTTCGTTGTTTAGTTAACATACATATTCACGCAAATGTATCTTTTCAATTTGGATCCCCGCTATTTTTCGATTTTTCTGCCCAGGCCTTCGTAAAACGCAGAAATTCTTGGCCGCTCAAGTTCGCCTTATCGAGTAGATCGCCACTCGAAATGTAATCAACGAATGTTATCGTATTCAACTCCACCTTAGCATTGCATTCTCCGGCTACTTTATAAATCGTGAATACATTTTCTAACTTGATTTGTTTCTGCAAAACGGATTCACATTTTTTTCTTAAATCAGTCTCACGATACTGGTCAGCCAACTTCATCAAATCTGTTTTAGAACGCTTAGAATATTTTAATTTCTCGTAGAATAGGTTGTTTTCGTAACGTCGAACCTGACAACGTATCAAAATCTACATCCCTGCAGTACAACTTGTCCGTGTAAAGGAAGTACAACAGAGCATAGAATGTGTCCCGCTTAACATCTTGTAATTCAATTTGGCTGGTAATGTGTATAGGCACTTGTGGTAAATTACATTTTATGCATATATAGTTTAATATATATAAAATTTTGCCTACCCATCTTGTTTGTTCCAGGATTCTGAAAATTTCCGTGCAATACAATCACTTCGTAAGATCAAAATTGATTTGTGAGCTTTAATTATGGATCCCTCTACTTTAAACTCGACATCGGTTCCGGGGCCACCCTTAGAAAACATTTGGTTTTATAATATGTATTTATCTTAAGATGAATTAAATTCGTTCCTTACGATCGCAGTTTCGAGCGTCTGAAGAACAGATTTCCCCTTTTCTTCATAGTTGGAGGCACACAGCGATTTGTACATAAATTGTGCTTCTTTCTTAACAAGGGTCATAGGGTGTGGAAAATTTAAGGAATTTAACTCAGTCGGATTATTAAAGCTAATTCCTTTATGGATCTCGCCCCAGGCGAAAGTTGTATCTTTTGACTTTGCTAAACTTTGGTTTATCTTCGACATGCTAGATATGTCATCAAAAATTATTTCCACATCTGTTGCAACTCTGGTAAGGACATTCAGATTTGTCTTGTCTCCTATTCCAAGTTGTCCTTCTGAATTAGAACCGCACGCATACACCTCCCCAGATTTGGTGAGTACGACCGTATGGTATGGTCCATTTATAACCTGTCAAAGTATTTCGATAGGTTTCAAGTACCAATCTCATTTGTAGTTACAAATTTACGATTTTGCAACCTTTTTTATGGGTGTGTCAAAGATTGCTTTAGTTGGAATGTTTGAATGAATGAAGTTCCCTATCCCTAACTCGCCAGTAGCATTATGTCCCCACGAGTACAACTGCATAGGTAATATAAAGGTACAGATCTATGAGTGCTCTTTACTCGTACTTTGACATTTCTAAAAGAAATCTTACGTCCCCGGATTGGGTCAACGCGAACGAGCTGAACTGACTGGAACAGATTTGTTTAATTTTGTTGCTGGTAATATTTGAGGTAGCGTTGCGAGGTTTACTCCGATTCGTCTCATCTCTCAGTCCAAGTTGACCATAGTGATTGTAACCCCACACAAAAACCTCCGCTGTGTCCATTGTTAACGCTAGAGTGTGTGCAAATCCTACCGAAAGTTGCGAAATTTTGGCCCCATCACCCACCTTAACTAATTTTGGAGTAGTAATTATTCCAACGGTTTCAATCCCAAGTTCGCCTAGGAGATTGCTTCCCCACGCGAAGACTCGACCATCCTTGGTTAATGCAAAACAACTTGCTTTGGCATTAGTAAAAAACTCTGAAAAATTTAAATATCAATATTATTTGGTTCAAAAGTTATCGGCGGAAAAGCCACTGTGTGGAGTGCATGTCTGTGGATGGGACACATGCTCACAAACACATGTCTAGGTTTAGGGGATGCGCGTTATTAAATACTATGAATTTAAATACACGTCGGGATACATTATTTTGACTTGAAGTTACATACATATGTAGATACGTCAGAGTATCTACATATATACATATGTTTAACGTCAGACTTAAACGTACATATGTACGAATTTAAATTTTGAATATTTACCCAGAGACAAACACAATACGTTTAGCAAACAAGGATGGTGTGGTGAAGGTTGTTTACTGGGCAAGGCAGGGGATGACGTCAAAATTCCTAGCCGACCAAGTATGACGGCAAGGCAAAGTATTAATGCGCCCTTCACCTCAGGCGTGACACTCTTACCTCGAACAAATTGTCCGCAAAGAGTGTCAATCTTGACGGGTGAAGGAACTGATTCCGATTTACCGATTCCGAGTGACCCAATTGGGCCGGAACCTATCGCGTACACAACGTCATCCGTAGTTATAAGAAATCCAAATGTTCCGTGCACATGGGCGATGCGAATATTTTGCAAAAAGTTATCGTCGATAGTGCTAAAGATGTTCCATTTTTTTAATTCTTTCAGAGGAATTGTTTTTTCGGCCAGTTGTGAAACACGTATTTCAACCAAATCTCCCATGTTCATGAGTGAATGAAATAAATGGTGGATGAAGAATATTTAATTTCGCTTCGTTTAGTGTTCGGTGATACAAAACATAAATCGAAGCATGTATGTGCAAGTATGCTCTGATATCATTGATAAGACAATTCTTATCTTATCACTTTTGGCATGTCCAACTATCTATACAGTATACTTGGTTTTTATTTATCAAAAAACGATAAGAAGCCTTTGTCTGCTTTACGAAATAAATCCCTTGCATTATATTGCGGACATTATGCAAGATTTGTCCATCAGCGACTGCGAATTAAGAAAAACGTAGAAAGGCATGACCTTTAATTTTAGCATATCTCAGTTTTCTACAAACAACTGGAGCTGCTGGAGGCTGCTGGAGTTGTCTGGAATAGCACTGTTTTTCACAAGGCTAACCAATTTTTCATAAAGTGTGAAGAAACATAATTTTAATATAACATGAAAGGGGACTCATAACGTATGTAACAATAAATCGCGAAAAAAATCACTTATTACTGAAGCTAACCGGTGTAGTCATGTAGTCAGATAAATCCGTGACTCTCTACAGAAACAGTATTCATGCAATGTGAATAAACGAATTTGATAGTAGTTCTCCAGTGAAAGGCATAAGGGGCCATTCATATATTACGTAATCAGAAATTCTCGATTTTAACACCCAACAACTTAACATATACATTATGAGATAGGAAATTTTAACCTGGGGAAGATACCAGGACCTAAACCACCTATCTACCCACTAAAAGGATAACGTAATATATGGACGTTCCCTAAATAAATACTCCACACATTTATCATTTTAGCTGAATGCAAACCGTTCACCGCCTGGAGCGAGGGTTCAAATTCTTCACAAGTGGACTGCACATTTTCCACAAGCATTTACACCATAACAATCTAAAGGGTGTTAATAAAGTCCGATCCCATGCATTTTTTGGAGCGTGGTTGTTACAAATTCAGCTGGAACTTTTGAACCAGTGAAGTTATTTATTTCAAATTTTTACCATGGGAGGAACAACTAAACGTGTAAGTCATGAGCATCTTAGAGTTGAGATACAAACATTGCATCAGCAGGGGCTTAAACCTACAGAAATTGTGCAAAAATTGGGCTGCAGCCGCAGAACTGTTTGGAAATGGAAGAATACAAATTTTGTCCACGACAAAAAGCGACCAGGGCGACCCAGAAAGGTGTCACCTACCACAAAAAGAATGATTAAAAACAGACTTTGCAAGAAAACCGGTAGTTCATTACGTAATTGAGCAAGGGAGTTAAATGACTCAAAACGCTATAAAGAGAAGAAGAAGCAAATTAACTGTGTGACCGTGCAAAAATTTGTGAAAACTACGAAGTGGGGTCACACAGCTTACAAACTAACCAAAAAAACCTCTCATGTCACAAAAATATATCGATGACCGTCTGAAATTTGAAGAACTCCTTCAGAAAAGTGCCCATTTGAGTGAAAAAAGACTTGGTGAAGAATTGCGCAGTCACATCCTTTGGACTGACGAATCTATTATTGAACTATATCCAAAATTGAACCAACAAAATGTTCGTTACAGGACAGAAAACAAATCGGATGTACCATCAAGAGCGATCCCAAAATTCGGGCTTAAAGTTATGGTAGCGGGTGGATTTTGTGCACGTTGCGTGACCCCTCTACATATCATACCAAAAGGCCAATCAGTCAATGCAAAGCATTATATGGAAAAAATATTACCTATCTATTTCGATAGCATGGGGAACAAGGAAATATTTCCGAATGAAAGAAAAATAGTTTTCATGCAGGATGGTGCTATAGCCCATACAGCAAAAGCGAGTTTGAGTCTCATCAAGACGCAAGTTTCAACGGTCTGGAGCAAGGGGGTGTGGGCCGCTAACGGCCCAGATTTGAATCCCCTGAAGAACCAGTGGTCCATACTTAAGGAAAATGTATACAAAGAGCCACAACCCCGGACGAGGGAAGAGCTAGTAAAAAAAGTTCAAGATGTATGGAATTCGATTTCCAGAGGCACATTGGAAAAATTAGCACAGAGCCTTAAACAAAGAGTTGAGGGCATGGTTAAAGTAAATGGTAACAAGACCAAATACTAAGGTAAATATGTCGAACATTTTTTGTAAGTATCACGGGTAGTTTTTTTTTATACTAGCCTTCACTTTTTTACAGGAAAAATGGGATCGGACTTTATTAACACCCTGTATTTTTATAAAAAAGGTGAAGCGCACACACTACTCACTATTAAAACTCTATTTAGTAGCAAAACAGACTCTAACACGACGACGTGCGACCCGAATTTTTGTGTTGACATTCCCAAAACATTTTTAGTGGGTGAGACTTTAAAATCAACTCATTCTCAGTAAACAAATCCAGAATGAATCCTAAGCCAAGGAAGAAATGGGAATGTCCCACTTGCTCAAAAACCTTCACAACTAAGCGTAACCTCACACAACACGGCATCACGCACGATCCCTCGGCGCAAATAAAATGCAAAGTAAGTTTTCCCTTTAAATTTGTGACTTTGAAATTTAAAAACTTCGCAAATTCTTTAATTAAAATGTACAAATTCCTAGATCTGCGGCAAGGTTTCAAAATCCCCAGTAAGATTAGCTGCCCACATGAAAGGAGTCCACAGCAACCGAGAACGTTCAAATTGCGACATTTGTCACCGGACATATAGAAATTCCTCCAGTTTACAGAGGCACGTGGACGTCGTACACGGAACGAGAGAACGATCCCGGTTCCCATGCACATTTTCCGGCTGTGAGAAAACCTACCTGAACCAGGGCCATCTTTTGGAGCATGTGAGAGCTGAACATGTCGAAAACCCGCTCCGATTCAGTGCACGCTTTGCCATAAGGATTTTAAATACAGAGGAAACTTGGATGTCCACATTCGAACTCACACGACCGAGAAGCCCTACAATTGCGGGACTTGTGGAAGGCGTTTCGCACGAACGAATGATCTGCAACAACACGAGGTAAATTACAGTAAAAACTCAAATAGTAGCCGGGGACTATTAAATATTTGTAAAATCCGTGGCTAGGACCCGGTCACTATATGCATACTTACATACATATTTGAGAAAGGCCACTATTTATAAAATTTTGAAGAGATTCATCGCTCCTATTTGAGCAACGGCTACTATTTTAGTTTTAATGGTAATACATTGTCTCAAAAATCTAATAAAACTGTAAATTTGTTCCACAGAGGACTCATTTGGAGAAGTCTACACAGAGGACTTTTAAGTGCAACCTTTGTGCGCTTACGTTCCTTAGTAGATCTGGTTTACGATGGCATGTTCGGGTTATTCATGAAAATCGGAGGAGTTATCACTGCACATTTTGTGGAAAAATGCTCTCGACATGCAATAATTTGATGCGCCACGTGGAGGCGGTACACCCCGCGAACAAGGAGAAGATTCATCCCTGCGACAAATGCGAGTACCGGAGTCACTCGAAGGGCAATTTAGCCGTACACAAAAGTCGGCACGATCCTAAGAAGCATGAATGCTACTTTTGTGGGAAGAATTTTGTCTCTTTTCAAAATTTGGTACGGCACTGCGGTCCAGTTCATACTTTGGAGCACGAGTAATTTTCATAACTAGTATTTCGTTGAACTTACTGTAAATTTACAATTTAATCATTAATTTAAAAAATTATAAAATTTTTTATTTGAAGGAGAAATAATTTGTTTGTATAACTACTAGTTAGCAGTTATTTATGTGGTATGCATATGTACTGTAATCTATTAAATTTACATTTTATTCGTTAACTTGAAAAAAAACTAAAGAATTAATATTGCCTTGTTGCGCATATATGTACGTATTTTAATGTGGCTAAAAGCGTTGCTTGCAGTACACTGAATATCAGTGGCGCAACTATTGTTTTGGCCCCATGGCAAATGGCATAAAATTGTTAAAAATTTATTTTGGTTGGGTTTCAGCTTGGCGGATCAGTAAATACTTGTTTATACTTTTTGAAGTGATGGAAATAATTATTTTTAAAAAACTTTCTTAACCTGGTACTTGTTTCTCTCCGCTTGAGCGATTCTATAAAATACTTTTAATTTTTCATAAGAAGTTTCATGAGTAACCAACCACTCTCACCATGTTCTGAGCAAACTTTCTCACTCGCTTTGGGTCACTGTAAAAAGTGCGAATGTTCAATGGGTGCGAACAAAGAGGAGGTTCATTAATGTTTGTATTTATATTTATTGGATGTAAACAAGTGATTTGATACAAGTTATTTCGAGGAGAAGGGTTCGCATCAAATGGGCCCCAAATAATTTTAGCAAGAGACAAACGGTTCACCGCCTGCCGTGAGGGTCCAAACTTTCCACAAGACACTCTACTTGATTTTACTCTGGCATGTACATAAAACTCGTCTGGCTATTTTTATAAAAAACTGCACACTGAATTGGATGAAGTAAAAAGTAATTTTTCTCATATTTTGCAGGACCCTTGTTTCTCTTCAAACTTGATGATGAAAGAGAAAATATGAAAACTACGCCAACACTCAAAACAAAAATTTGTCACATCAACACCGTCGGTGTCAATATATGACTTAACCGCCTTAGTTCAAATGTTGATTCCTAGTTATGATGATTTTGATACCGGCCGTTATAATGTTATGACCGGACGGTAAAAATTTCACTACCACTCGGAATCACAATTGTAACCAATGCGGTTAAGTCATATATTGGCACCGGCGGTGTTGATTTGACAAATTTTTGTTTTGAGTGAACATTCTCCGTAGCTACATGATATATGTATGTATATGCATTCCACTATGTTTGCAAAAGTAATTATAGTTGGATTTTTTTAGGTAAAAAGGTTTTCATGCCCAAAACTTTTGGCGGACAGACCCTTATTTAAAACGCCTACAAAATCTCGCACCCGTCATAAATTATTTTACAATACGAACAGTACTAAATATATAAGCGATGAAGTTAGTAATACCCTCTGCGTTAATGGAATGTGAATGAATTGACATAATACGAAATTAACCATATAATTTAAAAAACTTCACGCGCGTAGAGTAAATAAATACAGATGTGCATGTGAAAGGATTGACAATGATGGCTGAGAAAAGGTTAAAGCGTAAATCCTAGCATGTTGCTACCATTTCACTGCCCGCAGTGAAGGTCCATTGTGTTTGAAAACGGACAACAAATTTTACACATGCATCCCAACCAAGGCTGGTTATTTTTATAAAAAAGGACATGGCAACGAATCCATTAGTTCTGTTTAACCTGTACACTTATTATTAGTAGATACCAAGCTTAAAACTAGCAAGTTTTTAGACCACTAACTGCTCCCTTGCAAGTCTCTATTTAGTACTAAATCAGCCTCGAACAAGGCAAGGTATCACTTGTGTTTTGGCTTATTCAAAGAACTTACAGCATTGAAGACAAAAGTTCCACGAATCCAGATGGATTTGAAGAAATTAAAATGTCCCACGTGCTTAAAAACGCTCAAAACAAAACAGTCCTTTAAAAATCACGTTTTCACGCACGACCCCGATGCGAAGATAAAATGCGAGGTAAACTTTTAATTTACAGTATGCAACAAAAATATAGCTACGATGACATATTTTTTATCTCGACATGATGCCGTAATATTTCAACTTTGAAACTCCGTACAAAAATGTCAAAACTATCTGCCGACAATTTCCTCGTCGCCGATTTTTAATGTCGCAGATAGGTCAAAGGTCAGGATTATTTTTCTAAAAAAATTTGAGGCGTCGAAAAAAAAACTTCGTGGATAATTTTTTTTGAACTTTGCAATATTTTTTACTGGATGCGGCATGCGTTTTGAAGAATAATGAGCTTTGGTCGGACCGTGTACGATTTTTTTGGCGCCCACAGGAATTTTTCGCCCAGGACAGGTTGGAGGTCTAAAATCGCCGCCTTGGCGAAAATTAAAAAACTGAAATATACGTTTACATATCCCGACCCTCAATATACAAACGTCTCAAATTTTTTTAGAAAAATAATCCTGACCTTTGACCTATCTGCGACATTAAAAATCGGCGACGAGGAATTTGTCGGCAGATAGTTTTGACATTTTTGTACGGAGTTTCAAAGTAGAAATATTACGGCATCATGTCGAGATAAAAAATATGTCATCGTAGCTATACTTTTGTTACATACTGTACATAAATATGCAGGATTGCACTAGTGAAATTACACCATCAAATTTATATACAATCTTAAAAACTCAGCCTTAATCGTGACTAAGCGGTGTGCATATGTGACTTCACAAAATTCTGATAGTGTTTTTTACCGCATGGTGATAAAATTGACAACCACGGCGACAAGTTATTACTGGCTGGTGTTAATTTTTCCACCGCACGGTGAAGGCACATAATATGCACACCGTTCGGTAGCGATTAACACCAAGTTTCTAATACTGTATGTATTTCTTAGGTTTGCGGGAAAATTTCGAAAACCCCTGTCACCTTTGCTACCCACATGAGAAATATTCACACCCACCGAGAACGTCAAAATTGCAATGTTTGTCATCGGACATTTCGCAATTCCGCCACATTACGGACGCACATAAACGCCATGCACGAACCAGGAGAACGGCCTCGTTTCTCATGCACGTTTCCCGACTGTGAAAAAATCTACTTAGCCAAAGGAGAACTTACCCGACACGTGGCAGGTGAACACTCTGAAAACCCTGTCAACTTTGTGTGCACTTTGTGCCATAAAGAATTCAAATATAAAATAAACCGTGATGTTCATATTCGGCGTCACACAACGGAGAAGCCCTTTAATTGCGGCACATGTGGGAGGCGTTTTGCAGGAACGAATGACTTGAAACGTCACGAGGTACTTAAGTTAATACCCGACTCTAAATATTTTGATCGTCACCCATAAAGGTGTTTTTAGTGAATAAGGCGACGTTTTTTTCACCAGCGGAAAATAAATAAATGAAAACCCGTGTACAAAATAAATGCGACGTTGTTATTTTAAAAATTGTCATTTTTACCTTAACATTTTTTTTCACACCATACTTTTTAAAAATTTTTAGAACGACGCCACGGTGTGGTAAAGAACTCCTGTTTTCGAGTTTTTTCCCCTTGGTGACAAAACGTCGTTTTAATCATTACACAAAAGTAGAGGACTATAATACCTCCACGGGTGGCAATTTGGCTCTAAATTATTTGGAGTGCGTGTACAAAAAATGGAGAAAAAATTTCGGAAAAATTGATTAAAAGTCTACCTTTATTTTCCAGGCTACACATTTGGAAAAATCCACACGAAAAATTTTAACTGTCACCTCTGTCCCCGGGAATTCCTTCAAAGTTGTGACGTACGCGTCCGTATAGTATTCGGGCTGTTCATGAAAATCTGCGGAATCATCTCTGCTCAATTTGTGCCGTAAGGTTCTCCTCATCCAATCATTTGAAACGCCACGTGGAGGCGAAACACCCCGTGAACAAGGAAAATATCTATTCCTGTGACAAATGCGAGTACAGAATCCACAATTTAACCGCGCACAAAATACGGCACGATGTCAAAAACCACGAGTGCTATTTTTGTGGAAGGAAATTCTACGGTTTTCCAGAGTTGGGCAACCACTGCGGTCGCTTGCACACTTCAGTGAAGAAATAAGTATGACTACTGTTTACTATTCGATTAACCTATTAAATTTACAATGTATACCTTACTCAAGAAACGTTGGCTTTTTCGCGATCTGCACCACAATAAATAAATATGTATGCATTTGCACCAATTTTTTGCAAATACAATAATAGGTAAGAAACATAACATGTTATTTGGTTCTTAATGAGTTAGTATTTATTTCTCAAAACTTGTTGGAAATGGACCCATATGAATGTGAAGATGTAACGGTATACTTGTTAATCCCCGATTACGGAATGGGGAGTAATTAATCCTGAATCTTGCAATCAGTCTCAATCGATCCGTCTAAGAATTTTAAGCTATACTCCAACGTTCACCACATCCATTTTATTAAACGGTGAGGTTAAACTGGGACTAAATTTGCTTTATTTGAGTTAAATATTTTTATCAGATATTTAACATGATTATAATTAGTAACGCTAGTTAGTATGAAATTAACATTATATTTAAAGGAGATATTTTTAGAACTGTGGCCACTTTTACATAGGTTACAAAATATTTTTTAATAAGCCACAAAAGGCCTTGAACACTCAATTTGAGTTATGGCTAGTAAGAAGGTTACATATACATATACTTAAATAGTTATCAAGTCGGATTTCTCCTCCTCAGTTGCATAATTAGTTTCGCAAGATCGTATTTTTACAAAAGAAAAAAAATGGCAAGTATTTAATAAATATTTGCCGCATTTTCTGAAACCTTTAAAGTATCTATTAAGTATTTCACCGGTTTAGACATTGATTATAATGTATTGTTGCGTTGTAACAGTTACAACGTGTCGAAATTCGTGGCTTATGTTGTGCAACAAGATAAAATTTAGCTTGTTGTGTTGTTAAATACATGCATATGTCCAGACTTTTGTAAGAAATTTATTTCAACCGGTATGCAAACCATTTCAAAGTTTAGAATTTATGTAGATTGGAGGCCTTACGCAACCCGTGCATGTGCAACTTGCACGATGAAAATTACGCTTAATAAATGGTTGGAGACGCAAAACTTACTTTTCTGTAGAAGTATATGTACATAGATGCTCAAGGTGTTCACTGGCTTTACCGATACCATGGATC